AGGGACAAATGGATGCAAGAGATAGGAGCCATGTACCTGGGTCAGATGGGCCCGAGTCTTCCCTAGCCCCTCTGGTGCTGACAGCTCCGATTCTCAGTGCTCTGGCTTCACACCGTCTGCATCAGGGTGGCAAATTAAAATGCTGCTTCCAGGCCCACTCTGCACCTGTGGAATCCAAACTTCTAGGGATATAATGTGGCAATATGAATTTTATGAAGCTGTCTCCATGATTCTCACACACACTAACATTTTGAATAAGTGCCTGAGACCTTTGAGGCCAGGTTTTATAGTATTCAGAGATAGCCTGCCAGAACTGTGCCCTGATTTCAATCAATTGCCAATGAGCAGATCCTTCGTGCATTGAACGTCTTCGGGACCTGCACTGTACTCCACATCAGGCCTGAGCAGCTGGGCAAGATCAAGGGCATCAGCCTTCACTGTATCCCACCCCCTCATCCTGCAGGGAAGCCTCACTGAAGAAAGTGGCATCCACTGGCAGGCAGGGGGCATCCCTGCTCCTTGTCTCAGCCTGCGAAGATCACTTACACGCTACATTTCCTCTCATATTTGCTAAATTGATATGCATACCTGAATCCTATCTCCTTCCTGTTTTAATGTACATTCTCTGATCATTACTGAGTGCCCCTCTAAAGGTGATCAAGGTAGCAAAAGTAGATGCTGGCTTCATGGGAAGGCAGCATGAATGTGACCTGTATAGCCTGTGCTCTTAGGGGCTTAACTTTTTCTCAATGATTTCTGCTCTTTTGAAAAATGAGGGTGCAGTGGACTCTCCATATCTTCAGGTTCCACATCCACAGGTTCTACTGACTGCAGATCAATAATAGTTTTTAAAAAATTATCTCTGTACTGAACATAGACAGATTTTCAATTGTCATTATTCCCTAGATGACGAAATAGAACATGGTGTTGACATTGTACCGGGTCCTTTAGTCATCTCAGATGGTGTAAGGTGAGGGAGGATGTGTGAGGTGTTAGGTCTCATGCAGACACTGTGGCACTTTGTGTAAGGGACTCTGGCTTCTCATGGCATGAGGTTCCTGGAATTTATCCCCAAGCATATGAAGGGATGATGGTGCTTACTCCATGTGGTGACCCAATTGCATGTGTTGGCAGAAGATGTGCAAGAGGGACAGATGACACATGAATAGACCAAACCTTTCTTTGCAGTAGACCCAATGGCAACTTTGCCCTTGCCCAGTGTGCCCCTGAGGCCTGGATTTAGAAGGATTGTGGTGTAAGCTGCCACAGATGGATCCAAGAGGTCAGCTGTCCCTCTGTCTTTAGTCTGGCCCTTTCTGCTTTTCCAACCACCTGTTTGTCATCATCCACAGAGCAAGGTGCAGCCCTTCTTTGTCATCTACCCTTCAAGAATGATAATACATCATCCAGCCAATCTTTAAAAGTTCTCCTTAAGAAGCGAAAGTTCCACTCTTCTGAAGGTGATCAATAGCCTGTGGCGTGAGGGACGTCTTAGTCCTGGGTAAACACAGAGATGGAGCCCCCCAGGGCTCATTCAAGTGGAAGTGCATGGAATAATTCACTTGGGCTCATTCTCTAGTTTTTATAAGATGCCATTTCTTTTCTAGTAGAATCAATTTTTAAGCTATTAACTCAATGCTCAGCAGACATTTTTCTTGTGGTGTGGTTCATTCTGGTTGTTACTTAATCCCCCTCAAGGGCAGCCAGATCGGGAGAGGTTCTGGACCTACAGAGACTAGGACTTGTACCAAGGCACCACAGTTCAGTGTGTGTACTTGAGGATGGAGTGCCCTTCAAGTTGTGGCTATAAAAAATACAAGAGAAAAAGGTTAAACAGCCTCACATGACCCTTTGCATTCGCCTGCTTTGTGGCACTATAATGAAACACTTGAAGCTGGGTAGCTTTACCAAGAAAAGAAGTTTACTTGGGCCTATGGATCTGGAGGGCCAAGGGCCCACATCTGGTGACAGGCTTGTTGCTGGGATACCCCTGGTGACATTGGGCATCACATGACAAGAGACAGAGCGTGTGTCTTCTAGTCCCTCTCCTTTTTATAAAGCCAGCAGTCTTCAGTCTTAGGGACCCCTCCCCACTGACCTTACCTCACCCCACTCACCTCCTAAAGGCTCCACCTCTAAACACCATGGTTGGATTAAGCCCCCCCCATATCTCACAGTGGGGGTGAAATTTCAACACACAAGTCCTCGGAGGACACATTCAGACCACATCCAGACCTTAGCACCCCCCTACAGGGTTTGGCTATGTAGTCCAGGCTGGCCTTGTACCAGAGACCCCCGAAGTTAGGTTCTAGTACCCACCTGCCCAGTATATGGCCCAGGCCTGAGAAAAAAAATACACTAAGAGACAGAACTAGGAGAGGAAAAAGCAGGGCACCAGGAGAACCAATGCCGGTGCAACCTACAAAGGCCCTGGACAGTCCCAGGCACTGACTTTTTTGGGCAATCAATTGGGTTAAAGGTGAGCTACGAGTGGTTTCTATGGACATTAATGTAAACAAGGCTCATTAAGGACAAGACAAAGTATTCTTGAATTAAGAACAGAATAGACAAAATATATGGTTGCAATTAGAACATTGTCCTTCTAGTTAGGAGGTTTTAGTTGTGGGAATGGAATTTGGGTGTGAGTTACTCTGACCTTGGCATGTAGGCTTCAGCCAGACTCACTTCTATAAATGAGCCAATCGTGGGGTTAACTCCTTACAGCCTGCTTTGGGCATAATTAATATCACAGTCCCCTGCAGCCTTGAACTCACCATGCAACCCCGGGCAGGTCGGGCAGGTCTCAGACTTGCGACGATCCTACTGCCTCAGCCTCCCAAGTGCTAGGATTACAGGTGTGCACCACCACACCCAGGCTTTGCACTTTCTTTCTGCTCTTGACCCTTCTTTTTGCATCTACTTCCCACTGGCAACAGCCAGCATTTTCTTTTAAAAATGAGCTCTTCTATGGTTTTCTACTGCAACTAAAATAAAATCCAGTGGACTTGGGGAGACAGCTAAGGTTCCCATGAGTCCCACAGAAATCTGGATGGATGGTGAAGTTACAAATGAGTCCACAGCAGGCTTGGAAGGTGCTCGGAGGATCAGCTTCTCTGACAAAGTGGACTCAGGAGAGGCCCTAAGAGCCAGAGGCCTGCAGCACGCTTGGTTACAAGATTGACTCTTGGCTGGTCCTCACTTAGCAAAATAACTCAGCCCTGAGTCACCTTGAAGCCTCGTGGTTAATGCTTATCTTGGAACCAAACCCACAGTGAGCCTCTGCTTCTGGCTTTGGCCCTCACTCTGACTGATCCCATTTGATACTGGAGATGGAGCACAGGGATCAGCCTTAGCTTTCCAGATTTTGCAACTGTGACCCCATCAACTCCCAGAGATGAGCAGGAGCTGAGCTTCTATCCCAGGGCATGCCATTTACTGGGTGTCTCAGTCTGTATTGTGTTGCTAATGAAATAAGTGATGCTGGGTTATATCTATTTTATTTATTTATTTATTTATTTATTTATTGGTACCAGGGATTGAACTCAGGACCTTGCGCTTGCCAGGCAGGTGGCAACACCACTGAGCTACATTCCAGGGCCAGCTGGGTTACATCTAAAAGAGGCTTATTTTGGCCCATGATTCTGGTGGCTGGAAAGTCCAGGCAGCCTGGCACTAATGTCTGGCTTCTAAGTGTAGAGAGCTTCACATGATGGGGGAGGAGGACAGGAAGCAGGAGAGCCAGCTGAGGAAGCTGAATTCAACTCATAACTACAGATGCCAATCCACCGTAAGACTGCACCACCTCTCTAACATCCCCCACCTTAACACTGTCACTTTGGGGAACTGAGCTTCAGCATTAGCTTTTTTTTTTGAGGGGGGGGGGATCACATTCAAACTATAACATTAGGGGACTGATCTTTGGTAAGATTCTTCTTTAGGGGGTGGGGAGTCTCACTTTGTGGTCCACGCTGGTCTTGAACTCACAGTTTAAAGCAATCTTCCTGCCTCCTAAGTAGCTGAGATATAGGCACACACCACTGTGCCCAGCCTTTGGTGAGATTCTAACCTCCTGAGATTTCCTCTTATTTTCCTTCCAAAAATATCAGTTCTGCTTTTGTGTGGCTGGAATTGGCACAGAATCACCCTGAGACAGTGGTGGCCTTGGTTTCAGGACTGTGGGTCACTGTCATAGCACAGGTTCCCAGGGCCGGGTGGAGGACAGCTATGACCCAGAGATATATATGGAGGGAGCTGATTGGGAGCTAGAGCTGCAGGAGTGGACTGGTGAGGAAGGAGGAGAAGCAACCCTAATGAAGCTCCAGACCTGGGAGCTTTCTCCATAGTGGTACCGAGTGCAGGCACAGGGCTGAGCCCCCTCCTCCTCCACAGTGACCAGGGTTGGGTGCCGGCTGCCCACAGAATGGGTTGTGATCTTGGCCCAGGTGCTCTCTGCAGCTGAGGCAGCTCCAGGAAGCTGTGGACATTTCCTCAGCTGGGGGGGCATGCACTGTCCTGAGAGGCAGGATCCGGAAGGACACAAGCATCCTCCATGCACGGTTACCTTGGCCTTGCAGAGACAGCCTTGAGCACCTAGGTTCTAGTCCTGCCTGGCCCTGCACCAGGACAGGCTCCTTCTCCTCTGTCACTGAGGACGCCTTGCATCTGGCAAACTTTCCTCCCTGCCAGATGTAGAATGCTTTGCTTTGCCATGGAAAAGCTTAAAGTGAGGAAGGACCTGGGAATGTGTAATACAGCAGCAAATAGCACCCATGTGTCTCTGTGGGAGTGGAGGTTTCCTGGGGAGATGAACAACTGCACGGGATGTTGGGAGTACAAGTGCCACCCAGGCTGTGAATAGTGGCATAGGCTGCCTTTCTTACAAGACACTGCTCTCACCCCAGGTGCCCAATGGGTGACTGGTCACTGTCCCCCATCCTTCCTGAGACCCATGGACATGCTTGACTGGCACACAACCTGACTCCAGTGCTCTCTCCCTCTAGGTGACACAGAAGTTCTCCTTGGTGATTGTGCAAGGCCACCTGGTCTCGGAAGGCATCCTGCTCTTTGGCCACCAGCATTTCTACCTCTGTGAGAACTTCACGCTGTCTCCCACAGGTGACATCTACTGCACCCGCCACTGCTTATCCAAGTGAGTTCTCAACACATCCCAGTGGATCTCCCTGGAGCCCCTCTTCTCTTCTGCATGTGGCTCTTACTGTGGGCTTAGGTCTGGGCCTGGACTCAAGCCGAAGAGTTGAGGTCTAGCTGGCATAACAGCAAAGCAGCTCCTTATGTCTCTCTTGGTCTGAACCCAGGGAACAGGCTATGGGGCTCTGTCCCCAGGTTATTTCATTGCTTGAATTCAGTCACATCAGCAAATGCATGCAAGGATTTGCTAATGCCCATTCTATTTTTTTATTTTTTTTGGTACCAGGTATCAAACTTGGGTCCTTGCACTTGCGCAGCAGGCTAATGCCCATTCTATTAAGGGAACGGGCACTGCCATCAGGCAGAGGTACGAGTGCCATTGGCAGCACAGTTTTTTGGGAAGGACTTGGAACTCACTATTGGCATAAGATGAGATGCATGTTGTGGGGGACTTTTCACTGTGTACTTGCAGAGAGGCTGTGGGACTGTAGGCAAGGGAGGGCTACTGGAGGAGATGGTGAAGGTCGGATCATGAACGGTGGGTGAGTTTGGATAGAAATTTTGAGTCATTTTTATACCAACTGATACCAGACATTTTGGGTAGGAAACCCCAAGGTTCTTCTTCATCTATTTGTGTTTGGTCTATTTGGGTTCAACCATGTTTTATTGATCAGTGACCTTGTGTTTCTATGGTACAACCATTCAAAGTCAGATTGACCATGTTTGCTGCTTTTTCAAAAGTCCAATTGTCAGGTTGTGGATTTTCAATTGATCACTGCTTTTGAAAACATTTGGTTGAAGATTTCTCCATGTATAGACAGCTTCGCCTGCTATGGTTAGCTGAGGTGCCAACGATGACTGGATGACCTCTTAGGTGGCTCTCAATCTAGCTACATCAGAATCACTGGGAGACCTTATTAGAACAGACTTTGGGCCTGGTCCCTTCCTAGTTTCTAGTTCAGTAGGTCTGAGTAGGATCTGAGATTTTACCAAGTTCCTGCCTCAGGCTGATTCTACTCTGATCTGGGACCACACTTTGAGAACCACTATTTTAGGCTATTGACAGAGAAATAAGAGACTTGACATGCCAATAAGTAAGAAGTTTAACTCCCAGTTGTCAGGGTTTCCAACCTAAGTCAGGAAGCAAGAGCTGAATGAATGTGGTAGCCAGCAGCCCACCCTCTTGTGTTTACATTTGCTGTATAATGCTTGGCATTTTCTCTCTGCTAATTTCCACCTTTTATTCATACCAAACATCCACCAATTGGTATAAGTCTTCTTTGCTTTTCTAAAACAAGAGGTGCATAATTAATCCCTGGCACACTCATTCCATCTCATTGGTCATGTTTTATTGATACTGATCAATATGGGTAGTGGGGCTGCAGACTTGCCTTTCTGGGAGCTGGTGGGTGCTTCCTCCTCTTCCATCTGTGTGGTGTGCCCTTTGATGACTTATGTAACCTTGGGAGTAGAGTGAGCTTGTGTTAAATAAGATCTTATTGATTAACTAAATTGTGTTCGTGAGGTGCATCCAATCCTGATCAAATTGACTCTCTCTGCATTTTTAGTAGAAGCCTAGTCGTTAGGTCATATACATGCACTTGATTTGCAATGAAGGGAGAGACCTCCCCTGTCTGGAAGTACACTTTTCTAAAATGCAAGTAGGAGTACAGTGAGAACAAATTACTACCCTAGAGTCTCAAGGGGGAACTTTGAGGGTGATTTCAGTTACCATGCCTTGGAAAAGTGTTTGTTAATCAGATAGCACACTCTCTCTCTCTGGGGTCTTGTCTATGGCCCTGAGAAATTCCTGCCCTCCTGGAGATGCATTTCTCAGAGACAGGCTCATAGATCATGTCAGATCAATGGGGATTAAGTCTTATTTTGACATGGAGACTAAGGAAGATACATAAATAAGCCTGTTAAAAATAAAGCCCAGTCAAGCCTGAAAAGCTTCTTTAAAAGATTGCCATCAAGTTGAGTACGGCTGAGCACTAGACCTTGAAAGAGCCCCCTGAAGTACCATTAAAACATCCCAAATAAAGCTCAAGAACACTCCAAGTTGCACATTGGTGATTTGATCTGTGTACTTTGGAACTTTCCTAAGAAACTAAGAATCTCTTGAGAAAGTTAGCTCTTACACAGGGTTTCCATCTTGGCTGAAAGTTGAGTGGCTGCGCCAGTTTTCTAGGGATATCCAAAACTGGGTGGCTCTAAAAAGTGGCAGAATATGGTTTCAAATCCTAGAAGCTAGAAGTGTGGAACCAAGGAGTGGATGGGGCACCTTGACTGCTTGAGGAGAGGATCCCTCCTTCCTCCTGCCAGCTTTTGCCCCATGTGGCCATCCTTGCTGGTTCCCTTGTAGCTCATGTCAGGTGGCCATCCTCTCCCTACATCTTCATGCCATCTTCCCTCTGTGTGTCTCTTTGGCCAAATTTCCCCCTTTTATGCCAACATCAATTATATTGGATTAGAGCCTACCCTGATGGCTTCATTTAACTGATGAATTCTACAAATAATCATTTCCAAATAAAGCCACATTCTGACTTAAACTTAATTCTTCCGGGGGACACAATCCTCCTTGTATCAATGACAGTCAGGCTCACTTTTGGCATTTGATTGACTTGGTGAGATCTTAAGCTATTTAACTGCACCCTAGTGATAGGACATGAAAACAAGATTCTTGCTCCACATTACTGAGCAGCTGTAAGGCAGCATTTCTCTCTTTATTGAACTCTACAAATATTTATTGAAAATCCATCTTGGGTTAGGTATGATGGTAGACTCCACAAAGGGATGAGTCAGACATGGGCTGAGTCTGCTGAAGAATTTTCAATCTAGTGAATGATTCCAGGTGTAAATTTCAGGTATAATTCTGGCAATAGTTGAATAATTTCTAATGGGAGTGAATCAAAGTAGTTTTATCGTGAAATCCAGTTCTGCTGGCAAAGACCACATGAACCAACATCAGGACTATCATTCAGTTTACTGTACTCCCCCTAATAAAAGCATTAAGAGTTATACTATGACTGATCTAGACAATTTTCTTACGTTATAATAGCTGTTGGGTAGGGGAACCTTGAATAGCAGCCTATGGACCATGACAACAGGCCTTCTCTGAAGAAGAACATGGCTCTGCTGCCCCTTTCTATCTGTCCACCTTGGATTCCTGGGCTCGGGTTTATTGTGTAAAACATGGAGGGTATGTTGCTGGCAAAGACATCCAGTCAAAGCTGTGAGGCATGCTACATAAGACAAACTTCAGCTTGGACTTCAGTGGTGAACTCAATAATTTACAGGATTTGGCTTTTCTGAGTACTGGGGTCCTTCTCTAGCATTCCTGTCCTACATGGTTACACAATTCCTACAAACAGGATTGTAACGGCCCCTGGTGGTGTTCCAGAACATTCCTCCTCCTGCCTTTAGTACTTCAGAGGGCTGGGTGGCAGAATCGGGAAGCACAGAGCATAATGAAAGGAGGAAGCTAGTGAAAAGAGCTCCATAAAAATGTACCCCCACACAAAGAAGATGTCTGAAAGCTTGGCTTTCACAGTCAGAGGCCCTTGGTTGGAATCTGAGTTCTATTTCTCCATAACCATGTGACCTTGGAGAGTCTCATCTCTCTGGAATGTTGTTGCCTAATTCCTGGTATGGAACTAATATTCACTAACCTCTAGTAGAGGTTCATTCTGAGAATCAACTGAAAAATGGATGTAAATGTGACCAAGCAAACGTGCCCAGAGCTCAGGGTAAGATGAGAAACAGTGAGCCTTGAGCAAAGTGTGGTCCTCAGCATATCCTGCAGGAGAAAAGGCAACCAAATTCACAGCTATGGTGGGGATTTGCTGTGGCTTCCACAAGCAGGTCCTATGGGAACATGGAGAGCTTGTGATTGCCCTTTCTGCCAGGCCTGTCTGAAATGCCTTTGACTAAGCCAAGGGTAGAAGGAGACATCACTGTGGTCCCTGGGATCCAGAGAAGCTCAAGAGGACGCTTAGCTTAGACTCAGCAGAGATGTCAATAGTGGATGGAGCAGATATGAGTGACAGCATCCAGAGCCAAGGCCTCATTGTGTAATTGATCTTATGGAGACGTGGCTTTAAGCAGAAGGCTTGGCTCTGAAAAGGGCCCGAAAAGGGCCCACAAAGTGCCTGAGACCACATCGCCTAAGTCTAGCTGTACAGTGGGACACAAGAACCTCAGCTCTTTGTGCCCATCTGTGACCTTTAGCCAGGCACGCAAGTCCAGGATTCTTGTCCTCAAAGTAGTCAGGTGACTCCAGTGCCAGAATGTACTTTAAGGGAACAAACATCCAAACAAACTCATGATTCTCCTCCCCAACCCTCTCTTCTTCCCAAGGAGGCGGGGTCACCCTGCCATCCTTTGGGACTTGCCCCCCAGCACCCTCATGTCTCTATCAAGCGGTCTCATTTCTGGCCCATAGGCCCCTCTTTGATGTGGCAGGGCAGGCTCAGGTCACCCCTTTGTCCTTGCTTTGCCTTCCGTGGGAGCCCCTGGCCTGTTCCCCAAGCTTGGGGCTTGCTCTCCAAGGCCTGGCTTGAGGATTCAAAGAATGTCTCCTTACCTGTTCTCTCAATCAGGCCTGGCTTTTGCAAACCAGATGAGCTCTGGTTTTCAGACATGTTTTTACTGTGTGATCAAGTAATGTCTTCAGAATCCAGGGGACCTCTTCATCCCAGGCTGGGAACATCCAACTACTTAAGACCATCCACCTGAAAGCTCTCAGGGCTGCCAGAGATGTGGGTATAGTAGAGGCCTAGGGTACTGAGGGGTGCATGGTTTAACACCATCTCACACACCCATGTACCCAGTGTTACATGGTCCTGTCCCCTCAGATTGGCCCCCACCTGCCCCTTGGGGCAGAGCACATCTCCATGTGTCTGAATCCCAGGTGCCAGGTAGATTTGTGCAAGCACTCAGAAAGTGCTGGTCTCATCACGGGGACTGGCATGCCAGTTGGCAAGCCCACAGCTTTCCTCCAGTGTGTCTCCCAAACTCAGATGGGGCTGTGGAGACAAGAAGTGTAAGGAGCCTGACAGACGCCAGACTGTGCCACTACCTGTCTCTTCCTTCCAGCATCAGTGATCCCTTCATTTTCAACATGTGCAGCAAAGACAGGTCCTCCGACCATTACTCGTGCCAGCGCCATGGCTATGGGGACCTCAGGGAGCTCCGACAGGCGTGCTTCCTGCTGCAGGTATGCTGGGCTCTGAGATACCCTCGTGGGATAGGTGGGAGGGCCTCCTCATCATAAAACATGAGGTCCAGGCTCCACATCCAAGGACACACCTCTGGGCCATGCTTTGTGCCAGTGCACAGCAGGGGACCTTGGGATGCACCTGTGGGTTCCTAGATATGTTGGTCCCAGTTGGCTTGGTGTTCTGGCTTGCACTGCACCCTGTCCAGTCCCAGGCATGGCTGCAAGGTTGTTTCTTCCCTCCCTGTGTCATTCAGAGTTAGGTTCTGCGCTGTTTCCTTCTTGACACACCCCAGGGCAGCCTGGGGGATTTAGGAACAGACAGCAGGCATGTCCATTTTTTTACCAGAGAGCTGAAGGAGTTGTGTCCAGGCTGGTGTACTGCTTGGACTATGTGGTGTGCACTTCTCTCCCTAACTTCTCTTCCTTCTCTCCCCAGCACTCACCCGGCTGCAAGTTCCTTGTCACTTCCCAGGCCATGTGGTTCAGGGTCCTGCTAACTGTCCCCTCCCAGCGAGGTCTCCTGGAGTGCCCCACAGCCTTCATGGGCTTCCCCAGGTGCCACCCAGAACAGGAGGCTCCCATCAGAGGAAGAATAGGCAGTGAGCTCTGTACCCCAACTCAGCCAGGTGCTACAGGGCAGAGAAAAAACTGTGGGTCCCACGTCCTCAGAGGATGCAGCTTGTATAAGTGGAGCTAAGAGAGAGAGCAAAGCTGTGTCCCCATTCCCAGGCTTACTGTAGGGCAGCAGAGCAAGAGGAGATGAGGAAAGCACAAGAGAGGGGCAGGGCCAGGACTTGGTGCTCACCTGTGCAGGGTCTGGTTCCTTCCAGAGGCCAGTGAGGGACATCATTATGTCCTGATCAACTTCGTAAGGGCGCCTCAGAAGTGTAAAATTACTGGGTTTGTGCATCAGGGCAAGCTCTGCAGGAGGTTATTCTCTGAAACTGAAGCTCAGGAAACCTTTCAGAGAAATTAATTCTGGAAAGTTCCAGCTGGCCTGCTGACCAGGGCCCATCCAGCTGCTCCAGCTCTGTTCATCCCTCATGGCTGCTCATTTTGTTGGGGTTCCAAGCTCCCTTGTGAGGAGTGTGGGCAAGGAGGTGGTGCAGGGAAAGGGAGCTCTGTGGGCCAGGAAGGCTCTAGGCAGGGTGCCTTGGCCTTGCTTTCTTCCTTCTTTGGGAGCCTTTTCAGCTCCTTGCCCTCCAGAGCACAGGAGGCCATGCCTTGTCCTTTCCCTCTATGCATAGAGCACTATGGACATTTGGGGCACATAGTACGTATTCACAGCTAATTTTTTATAATGATTCTGTGTCTTCCTTTTGGGATATACAGAGTAGCAGATGAGTTCAGTGAGTGAGTTTCTTTTCTTCCAGCAAAGGGTGACTGTTTCCAGATGCCTGGTTCTCCTGATGGTGCTGGGCCCCGGAGTGTGAGGCTCCTGCACACTGCCATAGGGGACAAGGGCTGTTGAGAGCAAAGCCACAGATTGTCCAGCCCTCCTGGGTTCTCCCAGGAGAAGTCAGAGCCTGATGTTCCAGGTTGCTGGACCAAGCTGTAGCCTCCACAGATTCTCATTCATGTTCAGCTTTACACAATTTCTTTTTGAGAGGAAAACCAAGGCTCTTCCATGCACCCCAGAAAGGGGTTTCCATATCATCATGAATCCTTCACCTCTCTAATGGGCTACACTTGGGAACTCACTTCCCACTAGGCAGAAGCAGGACATGGCCGAGACTGGGGTAGAACCCAGCTCTGAGGCAGACCCTTAACCCAGACCTCTGTTCCCTGTGTCCAGGGCCATTCCTGGGAATTCTCTCTCCCTGACACCATCTCATTCCTGAAGTGGATTCCAGAATAGATTCACTCTCTTATTCTAAGTCTGTTATCTATATAACTTGGAAGGGAAGGGAGGGAGACACAAGAGGAAGAGGGAAAGAAAACACAAAGGAAAAAAGATGTGTAGGTTTTATTTAGGTGTTAGCATATCCTTAGTAATAGCACCATTACAGTTACATTGTTGTGGGGTAAAGTTCCTGTGCCTCTTAGGTTTGCAGAAGAGCCCATGTTGAGAGTTGCCCCCACATGCTGGCTTCTTGGTCTTTTTGTTGGGTGACCTCTGCCTCAGGAAACCCAGCCCATGACCCGGAAGTGAAAGTGTCTTGAGGGTGCAATGAACATATTCTCTGTTTGTCTGCTCCTCACTCTTCCTGGCAGTGAAGTGGAGCTTTTGCTTCTTGCTTCAGCCAAAAGAGCTCATGGCTGTGGTCAGGCCCTCTGCCCACCCAGCTCTCCATAGACCCCTACTCACCTACCACCAAGGCCTCCATTCCCCTGGGAGGCCAGAAAAATGACCAGCAGGCACTGCTCACCTCAGAGACCTGCACAGCCACTGGCAGCAGCTTGGTCACCTGGGGAGAGTCCCTTCCAGAGAATGTCAAGGCTAACAAAAGGAGTTTCTCTTCATAGGACATCGCCATGGAGATCTTTTTCCAAAATGGATATTCCAAGTTTCTTGTCTTCTACAACAGTGATCGGAGTAAAGTCTTCAAAAGGTAAAGGACTGAAAATCTTCCCTTGTGGGAAATATATCCTGAACCAAGAGTGCAAATGCAGAGTTTGCTCAGCTCTGTTTTTAGGAAAATTGTTCTCAACCCTCCCACAGCAAGCAGGACTTGGGTTAAGCACAAGGAAGAGTTTCCCAACCTCCAGCTCAGGTGAATCCTGGAAGAGGCACATACAGAAGATAGAGAAGTTCCTTTGTTATGTCTTCCATGTCCACAGGCTGAGTGGCTTGGAACAGCAGTGACTGAAGGAGGAAATTCCTGCATATACAGCCTCTTTCAGAAACTGGCTGTTCAATGCAGAATGTTCTGAAGATATTTCCAATTTGCCAAGAAAATTTTTTTTTGCTTCTGTCTTTTTGATCCCAATTGCCAATTTTAGTGGCTCTGTTTTGATATTTCATTGGAAAGAATTCCAAATAACTGGTTTCCTACTATACATGGAACAACTTTCTTCTCAAATAGAGAGGCCAATCTTTCATTCAGCTCAGCTCCTCCTTTCTGTGAATGAGATGAGTCAACCCTTGTCTAAATTCATAGCGCTTGAGTTATTTATTATTATTATTATTATTAAAGTTATAGATAAATAGATTCAATAAGAACGTGGGAAGGCAGAGAGAAAGAATCCTGGCCTGGGAAGTCCACTTGGAGGCTGGGGTAACGGACATAGTTACCCCTGCTCCACTCTGGGCTGGACATTTGAAGGAGAGATTTCACTCTTATCACCTGGGAGCCATATTTTGTGCTCAGAGCCTTTAGCTTTGCCTTGCTGGTAGCCCTGGCCAGTAAGTGGCTCCAGGAACAGATGCTGCATCTAGGCAACAGAACCAGAGTGCAGAGAAACAACTCTCATAGTGGTGGCAGTGGGGTATCTACTGGCCCTGCCCCACCTTCTTCAACTCAGTGAGACTTTCAGGGAAACTCCTCCAGGCTGCTGTGGGTTCCTCCTAAAATGGCCTTTGAGGTCCATTTCAACCCACGCCGAATAGTCAATATGCAATGTTGACCTCAATCCATTTTCTTCTCTGGTTTCTGGGTATAAAACATAGTTTTTCACAGTCAATCTAGAAGTCTTACACATCCATAAGTGTTGGTCAGTGCTCTATTGTTATAACAAAGCAATTGAGATGATCAGTGTATAAAGAGAGAAGATTTATCTGACCTCACAGTGTTGGAGGTCCTTGTCCGTGATCAGTCTGCTGAGTCCAGTGGTTTGGGCCTGTGGTGAGGGTCTCATCATGGCAACAGGAGGTGGCAAAGCTGTTAACCTCTTCAGTGGGGAAGCAAAAGACACCAAGAGGAGGCTGGGGTTCCACAGTCCCCTTTGAGGGCGTGCCAAGAACCTCAGGACCACCCCTTATGAGCCCCACCTTTCAACACTTCCACCCCTTTCAATGGTGCCCCCACTGGGCCCAAGCCTTTGACACATGGGCCTTTGGGGAGCATTTCAGATTAAACAATAGTTCGGTGCATGCATGAGACCTAATATAAACTCTATATCCCGGAGCTGCTCTGCTCCAGGAGCCTTAAATCATGGTGGCATTTGCCCCAGGGTGACACACTGGAATGTATAGCAGTGGTTGTCAAAACTGACCCTGGAAATTTCAAGTACCTGGCCTAGAGGAGGTTCCTCAAAGGTATTGCCTTAGTGACAGCTGTTTTACTACTCTCATTGCTGCTGTTGAAGCTGGAATGCGTGATGCCACCAGGTGCTGAGGGGGTTCCCCAGGGGCACACTGGCCCTGGTATTCATGGCCTCAGGCCACCATGGCCCATAGGCCATGGAGAAACTTGATGGGCCAACTTCTTGCCTGGCTCTGGAGATGTCTCTGCAGGTTGAGGGAGGTAGTGGACTCCACTGATAAGATTATGGCTTTCTTTTTGTTTAGCTTCTGCTCTTTCCAGCCCAGCTTGAAGGGGAAAAGCACCTCCGAGGACCCCCTCAACCTCAGGTAACATGGGGTCTCTGGCTCTCAGGAACCGGTGCTGCCTTACTTTGACTTCCTTTGCCTGGTCCTACTCTGGAGCTGTGCAAAGAGCATGCACAGTTTCTCGTTATCTGTCCATCTCTGTGTCACATGTCTGTGGAGGTACTCCTGAAATCCTGTCACACCTCTGTGAATGGATCCAAAGCCCCACAAGCCCTGTGGCTTTCTTAGGCCTGAGCAGCAAGTGGCCTGCCTGTGGTGGTGGGCCAGTTGCCCACTGAGGTCCCAATGTCATCACAACCCATGGGGCTAGACCCTCAGGTGGGGTGTTTTGGTGATCGTCTCAAGTCTGCCCTTCCTATAATGAGTTTCTCAGTATTCAGAGAAAATTAATAAAAGGTATGCATTTTTAGCCAGAAAATCTGAAATATTCCCAAATCTGAAACTTTTTTAGGGTTACTACCATATGATGCTATGAAGTGTACAGTTCCACCACATGTGACCTGGTGTGATAGGTTCCAGTCAAAAGGGCAACACACTAAAAAACCTCATAAAACCCTCTTCAGGCTGTGTGTAAGGTATAGAGGAAATGACACCGAACTTAGCCACACAGGTCTCATTGGCAACCTTCAACAGACCAGTGGATTTCTTGTTTAGACTTGAGTCCCATTCCCAAGAGATCTCGATCTCATTAATACATTCAAATATCAAACAAGCTAAAGTAATCGAAATTGGAATCATTTCTGGCTCTAAGCATTTAGAGAAGGGCTCCTCAGTCTGTATGTGGTGGTGGCATGTGGGATGGTGATTTGTGAATCATGACCGGGGCATCTTCCCATGGTATGAAATGCCTGCTGCTTCTCCCTAGCGCCCCCTTCACAGGCAGGCTGTTTTTTGCAGCCAAATCCAAGATCAGTAGGTGTTTTATTTTAGTTAGGAATGAAAATAGGAAGAAGGGAGTTACTGATTTCCTCCAGGAGTGTGTGGGACAGCACAGGAGGTAGGCCCAGGGATGATACCCAGGACACTTATTGTGAGGATGGAATGGGGCCCCCTAATTCATTCAGAATTATTTATTGACAGTTTGTAATATTTGATGTCTGGTGCTTAACAAAGCAATACGAAAAATAGCCCCAAGTCCCCTGTCCTTATTGAGTTCACATTCCCATGACAAGGACAGGCATAAAACAATGTAAGTGAGGGGGTGATAAAAAGCACATTAGACAATAAATGTAGAAAATAAAGCAAAGAGAGGTGGCAGTGTGACCATAGACTGGGCACTGGGGGACACCCACATCAAGGGAACAGTGCTTGACTTGAGACTTAATGAAACAAGGAGACCATTTCTGCATGGAATCTGGAAAGAGTACTTCCTGTGGAGGGAAGAGCAGGGGAGAAGGGGAGATTGGATGGTGTGACTGAGGCTGGAGAAGTTAGGGTACGGGGAGCAAGGGGGAGAGGTAACAGGAGTGAGTTTGAGTGATCTTTAGGGGCTCAGTAATGGTTTTGCCTCACTATGAGTAAATGGGAAACTCTGAAAGGGCTCTGAGCGGAGGAATCGAGTGACCTGTCTTGTATTTGAGAAGAATCGCCTTGACTGCTGTGCCAACAGTAGACCAGTTGGATGTGGTGGTGCACGCTTATAATCCCAGCACTCAGGAGACTGAAGCAAGCTCACTGCAAGTTCGCGGCCAGTGTTGACTATATAGGGAGACCCTGCCTCAAAACAAAGCTAAACAGAACAAGACATTTTTAGAAGGTAGAGTCTTGGAGAAATGGTCATGAATGTGGGAAGGAGATCAAGGTTATGTTGTGTGTGTGTACCGATTTCTCAAAATAAACATCACTATTCTGTATTACAAACATGTGCTAATAAAAAAATGAATAGATCATAGCAGGTCAAAGGCAAAAGCCAGAGACTGATTCAGAGCCATTGTGGTGATCAGTTGACAGATGATGGTGGCCTCCATTGGAGAGTTAGCAGCAGAGTTGCTGTGGATGATCAGGTGCTAAATGTGTTTTCAAGTCATATTTGATAGGCTGATGGCCAGCATGGGTGTGTGTGTGTGAAAGAGAGAGGACTTGAGGGTAAGACCGTGGATTTAGCCTTGACCAGCTGGAAAATGAAATGGGGTGACCAGGAAGAGCTGCTGTGGGCTGGATTGAATCTTAGGAGCACAATTTGGACCTGTCACCCTGGGGAGCATCATACATCCAGGTGGGGCCTGGGGATGTGACCTTGGAGTGCAAAGAGAATCTAGACAGATGTAAATTTGGAATAGTGCTTAAAGCCACAAGCGTGGACAGCAGTGTGCACATGGAAAAGAGGTCATGGACCGTGCTCTGGGGACAACAACCCAAGGGGGCAGCACATAGGGAAGGGACACAGATGGGCAGATGTGCGAGATCCCCTGGGAGCCAGGCTTCAAGATGGGAATGGCCAGGTATGAGTAGGCCTAGGTGGAGAAGAGCTGGCACCTGGCCATTGAACTTGACAGCCCATGAGTCACAGTGGTTGCCAGCAGGCATTAGCCCATTAGCTGCCCACGACAGGCCAGGACCCCTGCAGAGCCTGGGTTGCCAGGGTCCCAGATCATGGGGTGGCTGTTTGCCTGCAGCATGGGACACAGCTTTGTTGTTCAGTAGCCCTAAGTGCGCACACATGGGCTAACCAGAGCCCTGGGAACCTCATGTAGCTTCTGTGAGAGCCTTGCTGTCCTTCATGGGGTCCTTGGTGCTGCTTCAGTGAAGGCGGTGGTTGGCTGCTCATACTAAGTGGGATGGAGAGGGATTTGTCACCATGCATACCTGGAGGCCAGTACATCCTGCTGCGGGCTTGGTGGGGTCTCTGGGCTCAGGAAGTCCTCGGGCAGCCAGGCTCTCCTTCATGAGTGAGGCTGTCCTTTGGACTGGCCTTGTTCCTCATGGGTCCTCCTGGCACAGTAGCTTTCATGCTCCCCGCAGCTCCAAGCTGGCAGTCACTTGAGAACTCAGCCACATACTGCTCACATTCAATCCCAGTGATTTTGGCCAGGAAAAAATTGCCCACATTGAATTTCCTTTTCTCAAATTAGGTTACGTGCACATCCCAGAACCAATTAAATGGCTTCCTTGGCCAGACCAGGATGACCTGCCTATCTAGGTGCTGGGGTGAGGTCAGTTCACCCCAGATAATAGACCTAACTGAGAGGAGGGGGTTCCCTGGGCTAATCAAGGCTCTGATGTCACTAAGGGATGAACATGGAGGCACCCAAAAAGGCAGAGGGCTGTCCATTGCCCCATGCAGAGGGGGCTCCCAGGGACCATGGCCCCCATCAGCTGTGACATAGACTACTTTGCCCACTGACACCCTCTTGCAGATCCATTGTGTCATACTGTGCAGTGATCCCACAGCTATCTCTGGCTGTGAGCAGCACTCTGTCCACTTCTATTTTGTCAGCGTCTCAGAGGACCTTCCCCCTCCACACACTCCTTCATTCATACCATCAAGCTCGGTTTCTACCCCAGACAGACAGGCACAGGCAGAGAACAGCACCAAAGAGGAGCTAGACTTTGGCTGTGGCCGCTGAGTTGGGGATTCCTCCACAGATGGTAGCTGGGTGAGAGGGAGAGAATTCTGCAGGAGATGAGCCAGACACTTCAGAGCCTTCCTCACCCATCTGCAGGTGGATGATGAGGTTATGCTGGGCCCTGCAAGTATTCAACAGCTGCTTTTATTTCTGCTGTGGTTGTTCTTCTATCTCTGCCATTTGTGCTCACTGGACCTGGAGGGGGGTCTGCTAGGTCCTTCTGTGTCCTGCCTGGCACAGTTTCCACACTGCTCAAAGTATGGGGCCCTTGGAGAAAGCTCCTGCGTTCCCTGGGAACAGGGCATGGTGCTCCACACTTTAGAGCAAAACTCACTTTTGGATATCAAGTTCTATAGTTGAGCATTTTCAGTTGTTTATTTCCTTCATAGATTATCTTTGAAAAACAATGAAAGACAAAAGATTTAGAAACACAGCCATAGAAACTGGGAAATTCCCAAGAGGAGATGATCTTCTATATCACCCATCACACTCTGTGTACCACTGTCAGCAGCGTGGAGCCCTAAAATCAAGCACTCTGCCTGAGTTATTTCCTCACCACTGGAACACAATACCTGATACCCACAAGTTAAAGGGGAGTGGCTCACAGTGTGTACAGGTTTCAGTCCATGGTCTGCTGGCTTCAAGGTAGGGTGGCATGGCAGAGGGGCATCACAGAGAAACAGCTTATTGCATGGTGGCAGGAAGCACAGAAAGATCAAGGGAGGAGTGAGGAAGAGATAAACTCTTGCCAGCCACAGCCCCAGAGACCCATCTCCTCCAGCCAGGCTCCACGCCCCCCCCCCACATCACATTTAGCTATAAATTCACCAATAGACTAATCCACCCATGAGTATCAAGCTTCCGTGATCCAGTCGCCTCCCAGAATCCCCACCTATGAATGCATGAGGCCTTGGGAGATATCTAGGTATAAACCATAACACACTCTTCCCCCTTTCTCCTCTGCCAATCGCACTCCCCAGAGTTAACATGGACTCAGAGGTTAAAAATCTGTAACACACATGGTCACTCTGATAAACAGCACCACACCACCATGATGGGAGAAACTTGGTCCTTGGGTTCTCAATGACCTACAGCCCCAAGAGGGCAGTGGCAGAGACAATAAGATTGATGCCTGGAATCTGGAGCAGAACTTCTAGAACTGGACTAAGTCTGGCTACAAACTAAAAATTCTGAACATGGCAACCATGCCCAGCACTTAGGAGCTTTTCACACTGTTGGTGTAATGAGCATGGGCATCAAGCCCTAGTGATTCTGCCCGGGTCATGCTCAGATCTGGATTTGGCCCCTCCTGTGTCACCTTTTGTCTTCTTGCTGCACATGGCTCATGTCTTGTCCCAACTGTACCCTCAGCCACACCCTTGGACCCCTAAGCAGGCAGGAGTCTGGCTCAGCCCTGCTCTCTGCAGTCACCATGCCCATTTTCCCTTCCAGCTCCACCCACCATGTGGCCCCCCCAGCCTCCACGCTCCCCAATACCATGTCCAGAGTCGACGGATGCAGAAAGGCCACGCATCCACTGGGGCAGGGCCCCCACCCTAGTGCTGCCTGTGCCCAGCCACCTCCAGAAAGCCAGGACATAGGCATAGGAGCCCTGCATTTTCTTTTGCTTTTGGCAGCCTTCTCAGTCACCCTCCAGATGAGATCAGGCGTGGGTAATTTTTAATCAGTCTGGTGGGCTGAGGGAAAGGTGCTCTTTCTCTTGAGATGGTGAAATGTTGTCTGGGGTGATGACTGGCCTAGGTTCTTGATATCCCAAGCAAAGAACTGAGCAGAATACATAGAAGTAGAAATGAAAGCAGAGATTATCCAGGATGCATTCTGCAGGGTGGGAGCTGACCAGTGAGATGAGCTTACAGCCCAAAAGAACCCCGATGCCAGAGCCTCTATGTGGTTTCTACAGGAAGGGAGTTGCTCCTTGGGCTAGCACTGCAGTTCACTCCAATGAAGGACAAGTGTTCTCTTTCCTATTGGAGGGGGAGGTTTTCCCTATAGAGACCTTTGAGGAGTGGTCATGGCGCCTGAAGCCCATGGGGGGGGACCCAATGTAAATGAGATTATAATTAATAGCACTGGAGTTAGGGTCCCTTTGGTTGTTTGGACATTGTATAGTGCATGTATTCCCAGGGATGGCTTTTTCATTAGAGGTGGGTGCCCTGTGTGGTCTTTAGAGATCATCTTGATCCCCAGCCTGTCCAGAAGACTGTAGTGCATGTGGCCTCTTATCTTTCCTGGCTGGACCCAGCTGTCAGGACAGGCACACTGTGCCTCTTGGAGAGCTGGCTTCCTCTTTTCTCCTCTTTCCTTCTGGCCCCCTCTTTCCAGGAATTTGTCCTCCCTACCTCCTGCCTCATTAACTCTCTGAGGTGGTAGAGGAATTGTGGCTTTGGGTGGACTGTGCGTGTTTAAGTTTCACTCTCAGCTTGCTATAGTGACTGGAGCACTGTCAGAGATAAGCACTGGAGAGATGTGGAAGGGTCTGTTTATTATCACAGCGAGGTGGTAAGACTGATTTTTAAATTTTTATTTTGAATTAACTACAGATTCCCAGGAAATTGTACGATCATGGAGAGGCCCCCTACAGTCTTCACCTGATTGCCCCATAGGTGCATGATATTTACTGTACAACTTCAAAACCAGGGCATTTACACTGCTACATGTGTTTCGTGTATCTTTGTCACTTTCTCACTTGTGTAGATTCCTGTAACACACATAGTTATTTTATGCAAGTATCTCTCACACTGCCCTTTCTGATCATGCCTGGCTCTGCCACTCCCTGCTGTCCTTAGCTCCTGGCAGCCACTCATCCACTTCCCATCTCTATCATTTTGTCATCTGAACAATTCTATAGATAGAGCCACAGAGATCTTTGGAGATTGGCTGTTTTAAACCCAAAATGATACCGCTGAGGTCTATTTGAGTTGTTGCATGTGTAAATAGCGTGCTCCTTTTTTGTGACCAGGCAGTATTTCAGGATATGAACATACCAGAGTTTGTTCAACCATGTGTGCATTGTTTCCACTTTGGCGCCATTACAGATAAAGTCAACTGTTTACATTTAATGCGAGTTTTGAAACGTTAGGATGTAAGTCTGACATTTTAGTTTTTGTAGTGTTTTCCTTCCTTTTTGTTCATCTCTGTTTTCTTTTTTCTGCTTTCCTGTGCATAGCTAAAGGATGTGTTAAAATTCTACTTTGATTTATCTGTGGTATGTTTCTCTGAGTAGATGTTGTATATAAATATGAGCTCCTTGCGGCATTGCATTTTATATAGATACTTATCACAGGATTCTGGTCAGGTTGAGATTGTACCAGTGTGAGTGAAATATAGAGACTGCAAGGCTTTGAAGTCTGAATGTCTTCTTTTAAGTTTGCCATTGTTGCTAATGCATGTCTATATTTTCTTAAATGTTCCTTCTATATACACTTTAAAAAACACATAAGATGTATCCCGGATTCACTTTCACACATGGAGAGCCCACAGCAAGGCATTGACAGTGAGCTTGTGAGCCAAGCCCGGGGCGTAGGCAGCTTTCAGAATGCTCCCAGCCCTCTGTCTTCTCCTAACCCGGTTCTCCTCTTCAGAGCTGTGCTTCTGTCAGCTGAGTAGTCTCCGTGTTTGGCCATAAGCTACTCGAGGAAGGTGGTGAGCGCAACCTGGGGATGGAGACACAAGAAGCTGAAGCCATTGCTCCTGGCCACAGGCAAAATACAGATCACCCAAGGTCACACAGGGTCACTGGGTTATAGCTGGCTTTCAGAATCAGAGATGAGTGGGTCAGTGTGTGTGGAGTGTTTGTTCTACTAGTGGCAGGAGAACTCCCATATGGCTTTGCTATCCATTACTTTTAGGCTTCCTACAATTTCCAGGAAGAAAAGGTGACTGATGTTTAAAGCATGAAGGAATATCAACACCAAGCTGTGCCCTGACAGGAAAGGAAGTAAAACACAGATGCCTCCTAACTGGCCCATGGTGCCCGCCTTTCCTAGCTAAAATGGTGTCTCAATCGAGTGTGTTCAGTGGCAAATCAGATCCCACTGCCTGCTGAAGTCCAACACACCTAAACCCCTTCCTGAGACCTGGTGACGAGAGTGAAAGGATTCCAGGGCCAGACCCCATGCAGCATGGATTGCGCCGCACAGACGGAAGTGGGAGCCAGGGACAGTGAGGTCTGCGGCTCCAATGCTTTGCTTAACACTTCCCTTTTGCTGATCTTTTGGGGACCTAAGATGGGGACACTGATTCTCCAGAAAAAGCATCTCCAGGCAGAACAATAGGAATTGACAGTATCCAGATAAGTCGCTGCCACTCTGCCAAGAAACTTGCCACCACTGTCTGCCCAGGCACGTTGGGCCTTTTGGCTGAGAGGGAAAGGGACAGAGAGAGCAGCCAGATGGATCACTCACAGGCAGGTCCAGGGCCTACCCTACTAGTGGCTTCCCTGAGCTGAGTGTGGCACCGTCATGTACCTCTCGGTCATGACCTCCCTTCACCTTCAGAAGGCTCTAGCCAATCAGACGTGCAATGAGAAGGAACATACAAGGGACAACGCTCAGTGCCATGAGGGTGCAGGGAAACTGCCTCCCTACGCCATCACTGGTGGACATACACATCCATGAGTTACATGACGGCATATGTCAAAAATTACTTTTGAAACAAGCATAGACTTGAACACAGTATTCCCAGGGAGGCAGCTCTGCCAAAGAAATTATCTGAAACATTTAAAAATGTTTTAGTCATCTCAGATCATTGCAAAACTATTTCCATTAGTGAAAAATTGGAAACAACCTAAATCCCCAACGTGACTTAGAGTTATGCATAACCAAAAGAATAACTATCTTGCAGACGCTTTAAATTATAGATGTGAAGACCATCCGCCCAGATGGGTTTCAAATCGGGATAGAGTTGGCATGAATGCTGTAATTTTAACTGTGTGTAAACACATAAGCAGAAAAATAATTCGTAAGGAAACCTGCCAAGGTTATAGTTAGCTCACACTGCAAATGGGTGCACACTTCCAGCGACCACGTGGAAAGCTAGATTGTGGTTTTGTTACTTTTCTAATGGAAGGCATTTAATAAAGGGAAGAAACTAAAATGAGAACTTTGAATCTAGCTCCTCTGGTATTTTGGAAGTATGACAGCATTGTCACAGCTGAGCATGACAAAGGAAAACCAGCAGAATGGGATGGAGTGATGAAGCATTTGTCTGCTGTGGTTCACAGTGTGAGGGAGAAAGAAGCACATCCTCCAGAGGGTGCCTGTTGCACTCCCCAAGAACCACTACAGCAAGGCCTTCCCCAGAAAAGCCTTCCCCAGTACCCCTCCCTCAGTCCTTTTAGTTGTCAGCAAGTGGTACTTAGCAAGCCCACCAAAGAGTCACAGCTATTATGAGGATCATCTCTACCACTATCATTTCTGCCCAAAGATATGGGTGGCTCTTGGCTTGCCCCAGAAATGTTTCAGGTTTTCAAGGCACCGAGCTCTTGCCTTGGGAGAGAACACTGTGTGCATGCTCTCTGTGCTGCCTGTTTTAGTTCGCAGCAGTCCTGGGTTGGGCATGAGCCCCACCTCACAGTTGAGGCTGAGCAAGGTGCCCCTCAGGAATGGCAGGAGAAGCAGAGGCATCAAGGACCTACATCTGCCCAATTCCAGAATCTCTGGCCTTTTCCATGCCAGGCTGGCCCTATACAACTCACTTGCCCAACAGTAACTTGTAGTTATGCACAGCCATAAGAAGAGATGTCCTGCAAATGTTTTAAATATGGTCCTGAGGATCATGGCTCTGGTCTCCTAGGTTCCTCAGGCTATGATGTTCTGCTCATCTTCTCTCAGATGGCCTCTCCTCCAACTTTCCCAAGGCAGGCCAAGCTAGTCCAACTGGAAATGGGTCCTTCACCTAGCACAGAGTAGTGAACTATTTATGTGTTGAATGCACTAAGCCATACATCCCCTCACTCCTTCCTTTCTTCCCACAAGGGTCTCCAAGGCACAGGTGAAATAAGCTCATTCATTCACAGCCCATGGGGGCCTGTAGGTTCAGGATAGAAAGCTTCTGGACCAAACTATATATGTACAGATGGGAGAAAAGTGTAGGACAAGATGCTACCTGCAATCCTTAAAACCTGCTCATCTCTGTGGCCTCAATTGGTGCTTTATCTCTGACCAGTGCCATTTGTTCTCCTACTAATCCACACTCTAGGATTGCTGACCTTGGAGCCCAGATCCAAGAAATTCCTGTGGAACACACTATACTTGGGGGCGGGCAGTGGGTCCTAACATGCCATAGAGTGTTGGCAACATTTTCGCTTGGGCCCCGGGCTGTAGACTGGAGAGCTCAGGGGCAGAAGTGAGCTGGATGGATAGATGGATGGATGGATGGATGGGTGGATGTATGGGTGGATGGATGGGTGGATGGACAGGTAGATCAGCAGATGAGTGGATGGACGGGTGGCTCTTTCCTGACTTGCTTCACTATGAGGGTGTATGCACATAGAACAGGGAGAAATGTGCAGAGTAGCAAGGAAAGTCAAAGCCCTCCAGTGAACACAGTCACAAGCTGAGGAGGTAGGAAAGTTGCTTTATGAGCTGGGATGGAAGAGCTGTTGCTGTAACAGGGCATCCTCACTTTCCTGGTTGCAGTCCTCTGCCCCTGCCCTCCCTTCTTTCCCCTCCTGCCTCAGGATCAGGGGCCCAGGTCACCTCCACTCTTCCTGGGATTCCTTGGCTGTAGAGTTAGGGGAGATCAAAGTAGAAAACAGCGCCTTTCTTGGTGTTGCTGTGACTGTGCTCTTTATTCGGTTCAGCTTCTCCCGGGCCAGTTGGCATCTTCTCAGGCAAGGCCTGCACAGGTCCTTCTCCTCCACCAGATGGAGGTTCTCCAGCCTTTTGATAGAGTCCACAAAGGTGTCTGCATCCTCCGCCTTTGGAAAGGGGTTTCGCTTTGTGTTGAGCTTCTTCAGCTTGGGGAGCTGGACAATGCTTGTGGGGATGTCATTGAGTAGGTTGTCATGGAGCCCTACCTCATGCAGCTCCTTCAGGGCCCCGAGTGTGGTGGGCACACTGTCTAGGTAGTTCAGTCCTAGGTTCATGGTGCGGATGTTCTTGAGCTGGTTCAGTTCCATGGGCAGCCCTTTGGTGGTCAGCCGGTTGTTGCTGACATTGAGGTAGAGAAGGGTGGTCATCTGGCCAAGGGACGTGGGCAGCCGGTCGATGTAGTTGCTGTGCAGGTCCAGCCACTGCAGGTTCTGGAACCTGGCAATGGAGTCAGGGATTTTCCTGATCAGATTTCGGCTGAGGTCCAGCTCATCCACATCACTGAGGCGAAGAATACACTTGGGGAAGGTGGTGATTCCCATCTTGCTCAGGTCCAGGCGTTTTTTCCCATCAAAGGTGATTTTAATGCAATTCTTGGCTACATTGAGGGTGATCTTCTTGCCCTTGGGGCCCTTCCTACCCTTGGCCATGTTCTCTTAGTGAGGGAGAAGGCTGTCAGAAGAATGTTTTTTCTGATTGGATGGTGATCAACTTGAGGAAGAGGTCACATGAAACTGTTGATAAGAAGAGAGAAAAACGTCTCCTCAGGAGAGGACGTGGAGTACTGGACCTGCCCCACCTTGATCATGTGAAGTGTTTCCGATTGGTATAGAAAGAGACACACAAGAGAATATAGAGGAATAAAGGAATCATCAGAATCCATTCAGGGGGTCCTCAATGAACCTGTGGCCCCCCAGGCCTCAGTTTCCCCAGATGCTAAATGGGAATTGTTGGGTTGGCCTGAGGATGCTTATTGCCTCTCTAGCTTGCCATTTCCTGCCTTATAGACACTTCTATTGTCCTGGGCTTGAACATGATCCCCTGACTCCAGGAACATGTATATGTGTGTGGGGGGGGTGGAGGGATGGGGGCGGTTTCTTGGACATCTGCCACTTCTCAGATACCCACATAAATCTGGCATTCCTCGAGCTATCCTGTGTCTATCCTATGGAAGGGCTGCATAAGCCCAGGTCTGAGGGGTAGCATTAAGGATTTATTATTCCCTCCTCACCTTTGGACCTAGAGGAATGAGTCAGGTTGTGGCTACAAGAACAATGGAGCAACAGGAGCAGCACTGGGCACAGGGGGTGGGGTTTGCCTCCCCTGTACCCTCATCCCTAGCATGGAAGAGCAAGGGCTGAACATGGCAAACTTTCGGGGAATGCCACCCTTCCTCTTATCCTCCTTCACACTGGAAATCTACACTGCAAACTCCTCTGACCCAGTAGGTGTTGTGACACCTGAGTGCCACCATAAGGAGGCATAGCATGCAGAGGGTGGTGGAAGAGTCAGCTCAGCATGCTTGGCTTAGCTGTCCAGTTCTGCTGCTAATGATATTCTTATATTCTCAGTGCCTGAATTCCCTCATTGGTGAAAACAGCCCCTTTATGGAGCTCTTAGGAAAAGTAAATTATCTAATACTAGAAAGCACTCTTAACAATGCCTGGCACACAGTAAAAGCTTGATGGATGTGTTATTAAATATTGTTACATGGAACATTGCACATATTGTTTCCAATGTTCAGTAATCCAAGATACACAGAATTATCCCTATAGTAGAAAGGAAGACCGAGGAAGCTCTGCCATAAGAAGAAGCACACATACTGCTCTGTGGGGTCTGAAGCTGAACCTTGATTCCTCTTGCTTTCTGATTTGCTACTTTTAGGTGGAGCTCCCCGAAGCTGATAGTCCTCTTAGCTGTCAGCAGCACTGATGAGAACCTTGCGAGCGGGTCCTATTCTTTGGAAAGGGTGGATGAACTGCATTCAGGCATAGCTATCTGGGTAGCAGAGATAGCATGAGTGTACCAGCAAGGAAGTTTCTCTATCCTTCAGAGTAACCAGGATATCCTGGGAGTGATAAAGCAACTCAAAGACAGCCAGGGTTCCGGGACTGATAAGGTGGAATGAGGATACTCTGCCCCTCTTCCCTCTCTGAAGTGTCTGAAGACCCAAGGCAGAATACGCAAAGGAGCATGCACAGGGCTCTGCAGATAGCCAATGGGCAGGTTGGAGAACATTCTACCTAAGTAAACCGGTGTGGCTGCAAGTTTCCTGCATTATCCCCTCCTCTGCCTAGCAGGGAAGGAGGCCTCTAGGTTCAGAAAGAAAAGGAAGCCTGGCTTTGCCCACAGCTCCCCTTCCCTCCTGCCTCAGCTCTGGGTGGCTGGTGGCTCTGGGTGGCTGGTGACCCTGCATGGCTGGTGTCTCTAGCACCTGGAAGGCTGAAGAGAGAGAACATTACCTCATGATCAAACAAACTGAAGTCTTGAGAAACTTCAAGACTTCAGGGCCCACTTTGTCCTCTCTATCTTACTTCTGGTTGGCCCTAGAGGCAGCAATTGTGGCAGAAATTGTGCAGCACTTAGAAAACATAATCCCTGGACTTCCAGCCAGATGACCAAGAAGGGGGAGAAGAAATAGACTTCCAGGAGCCACAAAGTGTAGAGCAACTTGCAGAGGGGAGGAGCTCTAGAAAAGTGATGCCTAACATAGCATATGAATGCTGGATCCATCCTGAGCTGCCTCAGCATAGATAAGAACATATTCTTTCATACTTGGACCTAAATGCTTTGAAAACTGAGCAGAGAGGTACACCAACATTCAGGTTCCAGGCTAGTGATGGGATGCCAGTGTGAGGGTGGATCCAAATCACACTGCCTATTCTTTGAAAACCAGATGGATCTTAGAATCCTACCCACAGAATCGACAGATGGCACACAGACCTTGGAGCCTGGATCTAACTGGGTTGATTGCATACTTACAAAATAATACATATCCCAGAAGAAAAGGAAAACGAGTTGTGATGCAGAAAAACATTTGCAGAAAAAATGACTGAAAACTTCCAAAAGTTATTGAAAGACATGAAAATTGCAGATGAAAGAAACAAAGAAAACTCCAAACAGGATAAACTGAAAGAAATCCATACTCAAAAGCATAACAAAATTTCCCATAATGAAACAACAAACAAACTAACTCTTGGAAATGTGCCAGACAAAAAAGACATAGTCTATACAGGGGAGTTTTGATACAAATGACTAGAGTTTTCTCATCAGAAACCTTGGATGCCAGAGGTACTGGAAAAAAATTTTAAAGTGCTGGAAGAAAATTTGTCAAACCAGACACTGAAAGTAGTCTTTACAAATGAAAGTAAAGGTCTGGGGATTTAGCTCAGTGGTTCCAGGACCTGCCTTGCAAGTGCAAGGTCCTGAGTTTGATCCCTGGTATAAAAAGAAAAAAAAGTAAAGACATTCTCAGATGAATGAAAAATAAAAGGTTTTACTACAACCTGAGTAGAAATGCCAAAGAAAATTCTTCAGATGAAAGGAAGGCCACAGTAGAGAGAAACATGGAACTTTAAAGTCAGAGCAATAGAGATGGTAAATATCTGAATAAATAATACAGTAGACTTTTTATTCTTCTTTAAAGATTTTTAAAATATGCACGTGGTTGAAAACAAAAATAACACCATCTGATGGGGTTGGCAATGCATGTAGGTATATGTATGACAGTCACACCATATTGGGGGAAGTTAATGAGACACATGTGGTGAAGGTTTGTTTTTACATGGTTTTAAAATGGCAACATATTAATTGTAAGTAGGTGTGAATGTTAAGGATGTATGCTATAATCCCCAGCAAAATCACTACAACAATGTTAAAAAGAGCTATGGTAAAAAGTTAAGTATTTAAATGAAAATAAAACAGTTCTTAAAATTTCAAATAACCCAAAAGAAGGTAGAAAAGAGGAAATAGATGGAGGACTACTAAAATAGTCCTAAATGTAAACATACTAATATTTACATTAAATAAAGGTGACCTAAATGCACCAATTAAGACACAATTATCAGTATGGACTACAAAAGGAAAAGATTCAATTTTATGCTAGCTTTAAGAAATTCATTTTAAATAAACAAAAATGAGTTAAACTAAAAGAATGCAAAAAGTCATACCATGCAAACATTAAAGGCAGGCTGGACTGACTTTATCAATATTAGACCAAGAATATTTCATGACAAGAAAATTTACCTACGCATAAGAATATTACTTGATAATAAAATAGATGTTTTACCAAGAAGACCAGAAAAGCTAAATATGTATATGCCTAAAAATAGAGGTTCAATATAAATGAAGCAAAAACTAATACAAATGGACAAATTTACAAGTAAGTTGGAGACATCTATACTTGCCTCTCAATAATCAATAGAGCAGGTAGAGAGAAAGTCAGCAAGGAACAGGATTTTTATCCTTGGCTCTGTTGACATTTTGAGCTAGATAGCTCTTATCATTGGTGAGGATAAGGGAGAAGACCTGACCCATGCATCATAGGGTGTTTAGCCAGGAGATTCTGCCCACTGGATGCCAGCAGCTGCACATAGGCTGTAACAGTCAGTAATGAAAGAAATGTCCACTGTGGAGCAAAACTGCCCACAGATGAGAACTACTGGGGGAGAACTAAGTGTTACCATCAACCAACCAGATTCAATTGACATTTATAAAACACACTACCCAGCAATGGCAGGATGCATTTTCTTTCCAAGAGTACACAGATTATTCACAAATATAGATTGTATTCTGAGTCATGAAACAAGGCTCAACCAATTTAAATGGGGTAGAATCATACAAAAAGTGTCCTCTGAAAATAAGGGAAGTGAATTAGAAATTAATAACAGAAAGATAAGTGGAAGATCTACAGTTAACAATTAATACATTTATGAATAATCCATGAGTCAAAGAAGCCTCAAGGGAAATTAGAAAATATTTAGAGCTGGACAAGATGAAAATGCAGCCTGTCAAAACTTGCAGAATGTAACCAAAGCAGTGATTAGAGGAAAATTTGTAGCCTAAATGACCCATATTAGGAAGAATGGGCTTAAATCAATCATATAAACCTCCACCTTAAGAAACTAGTAAAGACTAGAAAATAAGCCTAAAGTATAGTCAAGAAGGACTCAATACATAGCATAAATCAGTAAGGAAGGAGAAAGGTAATATACAAAAATAAATGAAACTTGGGCTGGGGCTTTAGCTCAGTGGTTCTGCTACCTGCCTCAAAAGCGCAAGGACCTGAGTTCGATCCCCAGTACCAAAAAAAAAAAAAAGAGAGAGAGAAAAAAATAAATGAAACTAAAAACTGGTTCTTTGAAAAGATTAATAAAATGGATAGCCAGATTGATACTGGAAAAAAATAAAAAGACACAAATCATGAATATCCTGAGGTGAAGAATAGATTCACTAAAACCCACAAACATTAAAGTGATCATAAGGGAATAGTACAACTTGTATGATGCAAAAGAAAACTACAAAGCACATACATGAAACTGACCACAAACTTCCAACTTTCACTGAAGAATTACACTCCTCACATAGACCTATATTTATGAGCAAAATGAAATTCACAATAAAAATCTAGTAAAGGGGACCCCAGCCCCAGATGGCTGTATCATTAAATCCTACAAACATTTCAGTATGTTCAGAATGCTAAAAGAAAGTGCCACAGACTGGTGGCTGGCATGCAGTGCTTCACAGAGTCAAAGGCTGAGTCCAAGATCACGGCTGGCAGATCTGGTGGCTGGTGAGGACACTGGACCTAGCTCACTGATGGCCACCCTTGGATTTGTTCTTCCATGGTGGCGAGAGGGAGAGAGAGCTTTCTGGGCGCCTTTTGTAAGGGCACTAACCTCACTCATGAAGACCCCATCCTCATGATGTAATTCCCTATCAAATCCCCCCCAAGCCATCATATTTTTCAACATATAATTTGGAGTCAGGGTGGGGAGCTTTCGGTCCACTGCAAAAGTGTAACATCAATTTTACATGATCTTTATGGAAAATGGAAAAGGAGTAATCCTCAACTTATTTGCTAAGGTGAGCATTACCCTGATACAAAATCCACACAAGGATAATATAGTGTAGCCCAACATCCCTCATAAATACAGACACTGAATCCTCCACACAGTATTCACAAATTGAATCTAGTAATCCAGTAAATGACAGCCCACTGAGTATTCAAGTCCAACTCAGTATTTGGAAATCAATGTACATGGTATGTTTAAATTTTAAAAGTCTATTACAGTAAAAAACATTGCCCATAACACTCCTTGAAACACTACCCCCCCACACACACACACTTCAAATACACATCCCATCATTTTTGCTACTTTCTGAAACAGGTCTGGAAGTCCTCTTTGGTGAAGATCTTTAGTTGTGCTGTCATGGCTTCCTGGATGTCCTGAATCAATTCAAAACATTTATCTTTCATGGTCGTTTTGGCTTTGAGGAAGAGCTGCAGCCTTAAGGTGGCAGATCTGGTAAATAAATGGGTGAGGAAACACTGTAATGTTTTTTACAGCCTGCCTTTCTGTTGGGTGGCATTTGGCAGCAAAAGTCTCTAGAAGTTTTTTACCATAGTTTCTAAAGACACAAAAGAGGAATTCCAGGATTGCTTCAGAAAGTGGCAAGAATGATGAGAGAAGTGTATTTGAAGCAGGGGGAGTATTTTGAGGGAGATTAATGGTAATGTGTCTTTTACTGTAATAAATTTTTAAAAATTCAAACATTCCCTGTGTATTTTGATTATACTTAGTAATATACTATAAATAAGTATTACAATGCCATAGTAACAGACTAAAAGAGAGTAAACGTGATCATATTGATTTTTTAGTATACATCTGCAATACATAAAGAATACATTCATCATGGGGAGTTGGTACATATACATACCAATAGACACAGAAAATATATTTGAAAAATTTTAACACCCACCAAAACAACACCCTCAGCAGACCAGCAGTAAAAACATTCTTCCTTACATCACATAGGCCACCTACAAAAATTACAACAAACTTGCTACAGCTGATGTCCTTGCTGAGGAACTGAATGTTTTGCCCCTTAAGTTTGGGAACAAGGCAAGAAGATGCACTCTCATTTTACCTATTCAATATTATATTGGAAATTCTAGCCAGTGCACTGATCAAGAAAAATAAATAAAAGCATATAGGTAGAAAAGAGTGAAATAAAACTGTCTATATCACAGTTCACTTGATAGAGAATCTCAAAGAATTTAAAAATTACTCTTGGAAGTAATAAGTGAGACTCATAAGTTTGCAGGAAACAAGGTTAGCACACACACCCCTACTGCATTTTTGTATACTAGCAATTAACAATTTGAAAACTAAAATTTGGAAAATAATAATGCTCCAAAAAGTGAAATGCTCTTTTTCCACATAAATAATAAAAATGTACAAAATTTCTGTGATGAAAATTATAAACCACTGATGAATAAAGAAAAGATCTAAACAAGCAGAGAAGCAGACTATGATCTTTTTTTTGTACTGGTGATCGAACTCAGGACCTTGCGCTGGCAAGGCAGGCTCTGGAACCACTGAGCTAAACCCCCAGCACTTACGCTCTTGAGTTAGAAGACTCAAACCAGTTAAGTTGCCAATTCTCCCCAAAGTGGTCTAGAGAGCAACCTGGTTCTAACCAAAACTTCAGCAGGATTATTTATATGTATGAATGAATAGATTTTAAAATTTATATTAAAATGAAAAGCAGCTAGAAATAAAAAATAATTTAAAAAAAGAATAAAATTGGAAGACTCATGCTTCATATGTTAAAACTCACCATATAGTTATAGCATATAATATAGCATGCGGAGGAGGCTGGACATGGTGGTGCATACCTGTAATCCCAGCACTCGTGAGGGTGAGGCAGGAAGATTGCAAGTTCGAGGTCTACTTAGTGAGGTTAAGGCCAGCCCAAACAAGACCCTACACAACAAGACCCTACCTCAAAAAAACCAAAGTAGTAATAATAATAATAATAATTGATGTTAGAGAAGGTACAGAAAAATAGATGAATGGAATAGAAAGCAGAGTGTGGGAATAGAAAGCAGAGTGTGGGAATAGAAAGCAGAGTGTGGAAATAGAGCCTCACAAATAAAGCCAGTGTGGTCAATTGATTTTTGATGAACGTTCAATGGAGAAACAAAATTTTCAACAAACAATGTAGGGTGATTAGTTATCCACATGCAAAAAATTAAACCTCAACCTAGTGAAATTAACTCAGATTAACTCAAAGTAGACCATAGATATGAAAGTAAAATGTAAAGCCATAAAACCTTTAAATAATAATGAAGGATAAATCTCTATGACCTTGAGTTAGGTGAAAGCACGCTCCATAAAAGATTATACTAATAAATCAGACCTTAAAAACTGCTCTGTGAAAATGTTGAGAATGAAAAGATAACTATAGACTAGAAGGAGAAGTTTACAAGTCACTTATCCAGCAAAGAGCTGGTTCCCAGAATCTACAAATGGGTCTTAAATACAACAGAAAGAAAAGAATATAATGTTTTTTAAAGATGCACAAAAGATATAAAGATGCACTTCACTATGGAAGTTATATGGCTTGCAAATATGCCCACCAAAAGTTGTTCAACATCACTAGCAAGTAGAAAGATCCAAATCAGTCCATCAGCATCGTAATCAGGTGCAAGGGCACATCTGTCAGACAGCACCACAATCTGGCCCTGACCTAGAACAACCAGGGCACCCAACCCTTGCTGATGGTAACACTAAGTCTTAAGAGTTTGGCCATTTCTTATCAATATCACCAAATACTTATCACATGACCTTCCTTTTTCCCACTGGGAATTTCTAGAAAAATATAAATGTATGATCACACAAAGACCTGTCCACATGTGTTTATAGGCATTCTATTCATAATTGCTCAGAACTATAATGTGATGCCTTTGGGTCTTTCAAGAAGATACCTAGAAGGGGAAGAGCTGGGCTGAATGCAATTTCTATCTTTAGAATTTTGCTAGCTACATATTAAAATAATTTTTAACATAAATCTATTTGGGACTCCATAGTCTATTTCAACCACTTTCTCCATGGCCACTTGCTCTGCCTGGTTGGGAGTTGGGGATGTTTTTATGCCAACACCTGGTTCTGTCCTTTGTAGAGCATCCAGAGGTGCAGTATGGGCACCACCATGGGCACAGGAAGCTTCTATGCATGCCAGGGGGACCACTTGCCCCCCAGGCCATGGCCACACCAGCTCTCTGCCCTCTAATACAGATTTTTATAAAAGGAAAGATGGCTTGAGATCTGGAAAGCTGTGTACTGATCTTACGTTCATCAGTGACTTCGTCCCATGGCAGGGTCACCGGATTCAGTGAATAGTGAAAAGATCTCCAGCTAAATTTGCACTTCTGATAACAACAGGTAGTTTTTAGTCCATTTGTCCCAAGTCCTGCGAAGTCTTCTCTTGCTTAGGGGCCTGGTCAAGGGGTAACCACAGGGGCCTTTGTCCACGCCCTCACTAGTCCTTGGTGACAGATCAGAGGCAGCTCCTGGTGTTTATCCAGCTTCCTTCCTTTGCTCACCCACTGATACACAGGAGTATTGTGGGGTAGACAGTAAACACCTTGGTCTCCAGGTTCTCACAGCTAATATCTCCATTGTTACTGATTCTGGCCACCAGATCGATCCCACCATGCTTGGGCTGTGGTTTGGTTTTCTTCTCTTTGAGATTAAAGTCAAGCATGGGTTATCAGTCACTGCACAGGATGGGATGCTTCCCAAGATGTAGATACCACTCTGCCCGCACAGCCCACTCAACCTGTGGCAAGAGGCCCCCAGACCTGATTGATGGAGGCCAGGAGCAGAGAGGGGGCTGCACAGTCCTGCTCCATTAAGGAGCCTCTCCATGCCCCTTTGGCTCTGAGCCCACCATTAATCATCTGGAGGCAAAGTGGGGCATGGCTGGGCTAATGCACTTCCCTCCTCCCTGGGGAGTCTGTGTCCCCAGGTAGCCCCAGGCCACATGAGGGCTCATCTTGCATGCTTTTCCTTGAGGCTTCCTTACTCTGGCTGGAACCCTTGGGTGTGGAAGGCAAGGAGCCATCCTGACCCGAGAAGCAGCTGAGTACCACTAGACACAGTCTGATGCCAGGAGTTCCATTTCAGAGCCCTAGTGAGCAGGGGTCTCCCTACAGTCCTTCATCTCTGCAAGGCCAGCATCCTACTCAGCTCTCCTGCCCACTGAGTAGGTCAACAGGTGTTGACATCAGAAGTGGGAAACTGTGACCTTTCAATACAACAGGAAGGATTGGATGGCCTGTTCTTTCCAACTCACAGATGTCCTCAACTGTCACAGTAGAACCAACCCACATGAGGGAAGCTGGAAGTTAAAGGGAGAAAGACATAAACAAAGAAACAGAGAGGTGGTTAGATGAATGAATGGAAGGAGGGAGATGGATGGCAGATTTCATTTCATGTGAACAGCTTAGAAGTCCATATATGAGAAGATTCTAAATGCTCTCTTTTTGTCTTTTATGCTTTGGGTAGAGTGGGCCAGTTGATTTGGTTTTAATTTCTGATTAATTTTTCTATTTAGTAATTCTGAATCAAACAGCATGGCAGGACACCCCATGGATATCTAAATTAAAAATGTAATGGCAACTCATATTTTAATGTCATACGCATTTCCAATAGTAAGAACCTTGTCGTCACCACAATGCTAGAAGTTATCGAGGCTTCCCACTTAGGAATCTGCTGACTACATTTTTAAGACTGACTTTGTTTCTATGTATCTCTGATATCTCTGATATCTCTAAATGTCATGCTAACCTGATCTCAGAATAACTATTTCACCCTTTGATACAGGAGACACAGCATAGACACATATAGAATTGAATTCCCAGGGTCACCACTGATTCAAGGCCAGCAAAGTTCATAGGAAGTGCCCTGCCTTGCACCTGAAAAATTCCGTTTGCTTGTAGGCCATCCCTCCAGAGGAAATGATACAGATTTCCTCAGCCATGCATTGATCCAAAAGCACAGATGCTTCTTGGCTTACCATGGGCTTACAACCTGATAAGCCTGTTGCCACCGTCAGCTGAAAATGCTGAGTGGAAACTGCACTTCATTACCCTTAACTTACAGCACATCACAGCTTAGCAACAGCACTGCTCCCCCTGCTGCCCAGGGCTGTGCCTCACTGTGTAACTGCCTGGACTCCCAAGAGGGGGCAAGAGGGCATATTGCATACAAGTTCAAAATTCCCAGTACAGTTTCTACTTTCACACCATCCTAACTTCAAGAGATGTTAAGTTAAACCCTAGTAAGTGAGCATCCACTGCAATTCTGTTTGTTCTCTCTGTAACCTTCACGTGGCAGGTCTTGTCTGTGGAGTGGATGGGTCTGGAAACCTGGCCCAGCCTATAAAATCAGCACTAATGTTTGAGGAGGGTGGAGCTATGCTGCAAGAATTATGAGCACTTGTCTAGTACCCATACTGTTCCAAGAAGTGTGTGCCTGGTGATTGGCCTTAGGTGTTACCTGGGCTTAGGAGGGAGCATGGGCTCTTTGCAGGTGTAATTGTGAAGTGCTTTGTTTTCCCTCTTACTGGGGCTAAGGTAGGCCAAGACTTCCTTTTCTAGGGGCTGAAGGATATGCTAGGAAGGCAGCAGGCTAGAGGCACAAAGATCATCATGGGACTCAGAGAGTGGGCGGGCAGGAGCAATCCAGAGAGCAGGGCCTGGAGGCTGGTGGGACAGCGCGGTTGGGGTTTCCTGACATCTATTTCAAAAATTCTCCCAGTGCCCAGAGCCTCACCCTATCGTGCACCAGGTGAGATGCCCCTAGATCACTGCCACATGCCTGCTGCCAGGCCCTTCCTGTTTCTCTGATCTCCAGAGCAGTTATGCCAGTGTTGACCCCATTTAAAAAATAATGGAGTTGAGAGAAGTCAAGCAAGCCTCCCAAACCCCCACATCACACGGTCTACAAAGAGCACAGCTAAAGTCGAACCCGGGTGAGTTTGATACCCGAGCACAGGTGTGACCTTTCCTACACCCTGCCTCCTTGGGCTCCTCCCTCACTGCTGTCCCACAACAAAGCCAGCCCTTAGCCCAGGCACAGCACTGGCCCCGCTGACTCCAAAGGGGGGAGGCCATCCTTGATGTCCTTCTCCTCTGCCTACTTACCCTACTAATCAGGTGTCAAGAGGCTGAGGACTCATGTCCATAGCTATGCACGTGCATGTGTATGTGTATGGAATCCATGAGAGGAGTGTGCATTTTACTTCTTACTAGCATTAATGGAGTCATTTAACTGTAAGAGATTGGCTGGTGACGATGGGGGTGCAAAGAGAGGGAGAGACAGAAGCAGTGAAAAGGGCCCACATAATGCCACACACAGCTCACTCAGTGGCCCTGTGTGCCCAGGGGGCGGTGATGGAACAGGAATATGTGGGGCTCTGCCCCTCCATTCCCCACAGTGACACAATGAGTGTGAGCTGAGAGTGTAAAGACACAAGCTCTATCCCCAGCACGGCCAGGGGACATCAGCTGGCTGTGTCCCTGGTGCCCACCGAGGCAGCAGGACCCTCTGTACTGGAGATGCAGGTGGGTTGTGTGGGTGTCTCTGTCACCTGATGCTGCCGCCCCTGGCACCCATGATTAAATCAGCCCTCAGAGGTACTTTGTGCCCTTTCCTTCCCAGAGCAATCTGATGTTCCTTTTGTCACCCACTGTCACAACTCTTCTCTGACAAAGTGAAGATTGGGGTTGGGGTACAGTGGCCTTAGGCCCGGGCATATGCTCGGGAGGGAAGCTTCTTCGTGTGATGTCAGAGCCCTGCCCCTCCTGACCACATATGAATGGTCTGGTTCATGAATCTGGCAAAGATTTAGTTAACTTCTCGCTTGAAGCTCTCGGCGTCTTGCTGGGACCTTACATGTCCTGCTTTGCCCACTGGGATTTTATTTAGTCCCCTTTGAGCCTGGTCTGGCTGTGCTCATGAGCTGCCTGAGAATGTTCTTTGTCACACTGTCCCCTTCCCCAGGTGGATAATAAGAATTCAACTTTTTTTGGAGCAAGAGTTCCCAAGGGGTCACATCATCCCATAAGAAAAGATTATGATTTCTTACTGGTTTAATAGCATCTATTTTGTAATTCTGAATGTGCTCTGTTTTAATTGGATTTGTTGAAGGAACAAAGGGGAATAGGTGTCTTACAATTAAAATAAAATACTGAGATTATTAGTTAACAGGCTAGAAATGCCTTGTTCACCAGCCACATGCTAAAAATAGACAAACTGGCTTCACACAAGCAGAATCCAAAGGAGCCTCAACAGACCTGGTCCTTCCCAGCCCAGAACATGCATGGGGTTCCAGTCACTGGATGTCTACGGTGTCACCTGCTTCCTTCCCATGCATGCTAGGAAACAGGGCTTGTGGCAGTGGCATGGCCTTAGAGCAGGTGACCTGGCCCCCAGCTTCCTGCTCACCATCCCAGAGAGCTGCTAATGGATGAACAAGTGGCTGTTTCCAGGGCGGAGTACTTGAGAGGCCCTGGCTCTGACTTGGTAGGAGGTACAGCACGGCACGGACAGTGTCACTGACCCAAGATAAAGCCGGGACTCCAGGATCCCACCTGGGTAAAACCCCACTTGGACCCTGTGTCCCAGCACCTGCTTTCACAGTAGCATCCTTGCCTTTCCAGGCGAAGGCTTTACTGGATCCTGAGGGTGCAGGGACAGAAACCTGAAGGGTCCACAGGCACCGAGTCACGTCAGGGTGCAGCTGTCTTTAAGTGACCTTTGCTATATGCACTCCTTCTGCCCCAGGTACCACTGGCCTGGTACGTAATTACCACCAGTCATTGTTTCTCCATCTAATTCTAATTCTCTAACAGAGAGCAGGTTCCAAGCGAGAGATTTCCTGGGAGAGACTCAGGTTGTCACCTGTAAAATGAGCCTGCTGATCTCTGATTGTGGAGCCAGCCCCGAGCATGGTTCCCTGGAGACAGGAATACTGTCCAAAGAGATCCCATATGGCACAAACTGTGTGACCATGAGAACCTGTGCTGGAAAGGGGCTCCAGGGGCCACAGGTGGAGCTGTTTTAACTGAGTTAAGCCTGGAAGAGAAGAAAATGCATTCTGAGGTAGAGAGAGCAGATTGCAGTAAAGGCAGAGGGCAGGCGAGCACAGAGCCAAGGCTGAGACCCCGGGAAGTGAGGCACCCAGGCTGTGGATTCTGTGCTTTCCATGCCTTATCTCATTTAATGCACCTCACTTCTCAGATAAAACCTGGGGCCTCACCATCGTGGCCCTGGTCAAAGTCACACACTCAGGCAGACCCAGGCTCTGCTCAAGTGTCCTTCCTGGGGAACTAACTACCATGGGAGTTTGACTTTACAATGTTATGGGACAAACTGGCCTCACTGGGCAGACAGAACTCATGCTGTTCTCCACATCAGACCCTTTTTTTGGTACCGGGGATCGAACTTGGGACCTTGCGCTTGTGAGGCAGGCACTGGAACCACTGAGCTAAATCCCCGGGCCCTGGACCCTTCTTCATGTTACGTCTCAAGCCGAAAAGAAGGCAAGTGCACATCCTCACATCCCCTCTGGGGATTAGGATACATGGCATGCTCTGAGACTGGTAGCTCAGAACTGAGTCAGCAGAGGGTGGATTAGATGAGGAGAGGACCCTGGCCGGGGCTGAGGCACGTGGCATCACCCACCTGTGTCCTACAGGGTGAGGGACTCAGGGACATCCCTGGCTTTCACACCCACGTCACCCTGCTGATAGGGGGGATGGGGGACCACTGGGAAGCAGCGGGGGACCCGGGGACAACAGCCCCCTCGGCCTCCTTCTCCCCTGGAGGCTCTCACCCAGCTGGAGGCCAGGTGAGCACTGTCCCTTCCTGCACTGTGGCTCTCAGGCACAAGTCGCAATCTTCCTGCATCCACCGTCTGTGGTCTGGAGCTGTTACTCTGCACTTGGCTCTTGGAAAATCTGAATTGTTCACAAAAGCATCGAGAGCCCTTTGCAAAGCAACACTACTGCACTGTGACACAGGGAGATTAGATTCCTGCCTCCAAGCTGCATATGTGGATTATATGGGCCACCGGCCCCATCCCAGGCATCTTACAGACCCCATAGGTGATTCTGTAACTGCTCAGTGCACTGAGTTCCATGTCCATGGACCAGTCACAGCCCCTGAGGCCCAGAGAGGCTAAGTAATTAGGCTGAAGTCCCAGAGACTCTGAGTCAGGACCTGCCTTTTCCCAACACACTGCCCTGAAGATAGGCACTCAGCTTGAGGGGTGTGCTCTGCTCTGTGCTGGGAGGAAAGCCCTGCTCAGCCCAGGACTAAATCCCTGTGCTGCTGGGCTCCAGTATTGGGGTGACCTCCAGGAGTTCACTCCCAGACTCCCCCAGTGACCAAGTGTGTGTGGCTGGAGGAGCCCAGTGCTCTCCATTGTCATTCCAGTTTCCCCGTATGAAAGCAGGTGGTTCAAACACTGGCCTGCATGGGGTGGGGGTGGGGGTGGGGCACCACAGTTTGGAAAGCGAATCAAGCGTGACCCTCAAAGCCCCACTAATTCATACACCTCCTTGGCACCTGAGAACCCCTAGCTGTGTACCCTACCAGCAGCTGCCCTTCCTGGCAGGGACAGGGCCCAGGGCAAGCTGCTGCTTGTAAATAACGCATTAGCTAGTGTCTGGGGTCAATACAGAACAGCACCCACCAGAAGTGCAGTGGTTCTAGTGCTGCCCACTCAAGGAGGTCAGGAAAAAAGCAGTTTGAAGTAGCAGTAGTTTGGCAAAGTTAAAGCAAATCATCAACAAACACAGGGCCACCACCCAAGCAAAGACTTACCCCGTCCCAGGTCCTCTTCCTCCACTGGGAAACTTTGTCACCAGGCAACAAGAGACTTGGCACCTGAGGAGAATTAGCATAATCTCCAGGCCAGCCTACAAAGGGGAAGGACGAAAGGCTCGATGTGAGCAGGACGACCTGTCCAGGCAACATGTCCCCAAGCTGAGGGATGGGGCCTCGGGTCCCTGTGACTCCTAAGGCTGGTGTCTTCTCGGGTTCAGCCAGGGGGCAGTGGGAGAGGGTCACCTATCCCAGAGCCTGGCCGTGGCTCACAGGGACAAAGCTACAGAGGCCCCTTTTTCGGGACATTGTTCCCATAGCATTCGGTCCCAGGGAGTATCACACCACTTTCTTTTAATTGGCCTACATGTGTTTGTTTTGCTTTGTTGGTGTTTCTGAGGACTATTTTTTCTGTTTATTGACTTGAATTAAGTTTTTTTGTAGTTTTGTGTCTCTTTCTACTCTTTTTGCATTAAGTCTGAGTAACTATAATGCTCATAAAGTCATGCAATCCTGTAATTATTTTCTTTCACATTGATTTTCTACCCTGCTGTTTCTGAAGTCTTTGTCTTTAATGAAAGCCTGTGATGGACTCTGGGGACCCCACTTTCTTTGTGTTTCTGGGGCGGCCTTACCCTAAAAAGGACTGCAGTGAATGCATTTGTGCATTTATGATTTTTTTCAGTTTTTTCTTTAGGTTTCCAGTAACTGAGAAAACTAACAAAACAAGTGCTAACATTATTAGGTAGTAATAATATGACAGCCTAGGAAAATTAGAAATTGCATATAGAAATAAAAGCTAAAAATGCTTTGTTTCTGAATTAAGAAAAGAAGTAAAAAAATTAGCAAATAAATAATTTTAAATTTAAAGTTAATACAATTTTGGAAAGTACAAAAAACCCAAAATGAAATGATTTGAATTTAGAAATAAAAGTAAAATGAGCCATAAAATAAGAGGTAACTATAAAATTTTTGAATACATTAATACCACTATTCGGATTTCAATCCCCAAATAAATTAAATACATCACTTAACTTACATAGTAAATGGGCTTAAATGAATTAGCAAGGAATAACTAGAAGATAACTAGAAAATGATTTAAAATTATTGCCTAACATAGTTCTAATTGGAATATATAATTTAAATTAGAAAATAAATAACAACCATAAAACAGATAAGTAAAAATAAACTGATATTTTAAAGAAGAAAACATACACGAAGATATGAATATTTCAAGATGCAGACATGTGAAACCTTATAAAAATTTAAACCCCTTGTAATTTCAGCAGGTAGATGTAACTTTATATTGTATAAACATCCAGACATTTAATACATCTACAGCATCACATCATGCCATGGTTATGCAATAACAATTTGATAGATTTGCTAGTGCTCATTTTTTAACTGGATGTCTCCAAATACAACCAGTTATTGTTTTTCAGACAGCTAACTCTCATGGCAATCAGGACTATGGTTTGTGTTGTTCTTCTCTCCTTTTGTTCTTTTCCCCTTCTGGGGGAGGAGCTTGGTGTTCAGAGTGTGGCCCCTCAGGGCCTGTGAGCCACACAGTGTGTTACGGGTCCTGCCCTGTGCCCAGCCCCAGCGTGGGTAAAGCAATGGATTCCCCTCATCCCTGGTCTGCCCAGCACCTCCTCACCCCACTCTTCCATGTCCTCCTCTGTAACTGGGGACGAAGGCTATCTCTGGTGAAAAGCCTATGCCTGCTGTGATGGCTTAGATACCTGCCCAGTGTCATTTTAATTAGTGCTAGAGCTGTGAGCAAGATTTCTGCATGTCTCAGGAATGAAGGGAGGTGAGAAATCCTGAGTTTGAGGGTGTGTCTGTCTCCTCATGGATTTCTGTTGAACTGTCACCTAGATCAGGACATCAGAGTCCCGCCCACCCTGAATCCTTCTAAGGATGATGACATAGGGGAGGGGCATAGGAAAGGAGTATGCAGGCTCTCCCTAGTGTCCCCCAGCGGGAGTTTGTCTATTCGGCAGACTTACCCACCAGGCCAAGGCTATGCAAGACCACAGCTGCCTTTCCTGACAAGTCTCCCAAGCCCGTGTGCCCACTAGCAGACATGCATTTCTGCTTCCTCAAGGCAGATGCACTGCCTTGCCTTTCAGTTGGTTTCTCTGAACCCAAATTACTCAGGCATCATATCCCTGACACTTGCTAGTCCACCCCTACTGTCCTTATAACTGTTTGACAATCATCTGAATCCCAGAGGTGAGGGAGGCAGCCCCTTGGCATGGACTCCATGGTTTGGGGATTGACCCACTTCCTCCAAAGGCCCTGTAGAAGGAGGGCAGTCCTTAGGGCAGGGTGTGGGTCAATGGTCACCTCCTCCTCTGGTTGGGCCAGGCTGTGCCCAGGCACAGAGTCAAAGCCCAGGGCATTGAGGCTATGGCACTGGGGCTCCCTAGGACCATATGGCAACAGAGTTCAGGTTTCAGAAGTACTTCTGGGAAGTGAAGGGCAGAGATGGTATCACCATCCAAGCAGCCTGGGGAACAGTTACCCCAGGGGTGGGGAGAACTTGGACTGGGTCCACCTACTGACTGACATGGAGTTCCGATTTGGAGACAGACTCTCATCTTAGCAAGTCACCCAGCAGAGGGAGATGGTGCCTTTGGGGAACCAGGCCAGGCCACCTTCAGGCTGGGCAGGTACTCAGGTGACTGCGCTTGTCCCCACTGGCTTGTTAGAGAGCTTGTGTTTTTACATCCTGGACTCCAGTTGCCTGAGGGCCCTGCTTCTTTCCCTGTACTTCAGCACTGACTCCCAGCCCTGGGAGTGCCTCACACCCCTGCCACTGACTCCACAGAGCAGGCAGGTGACCCACAGCTGCACAGTTATCCTGAGGGGGCCCAGAGCTGATCATGTCCCTGCCCCTGCCGCCTCTTTTTCTTTTTTTTTTTTTTTGGTACCAGGGATCGAACTCGGGTCCTTGCACATGCACAGCAGGCGGCAAAACCACTGAGCTGCAGAATCCCACCTTCTGGGAGGCCCTGGGCCTACACCTGTGCTCACCATTGAAACCCTGGTCCTGCCTGCTGTCCTAGAAAAGTGTGGCCACTGTGTAGGAAGGAGATAGCCCCAGTCAGAGGGGGTTGGGGTCTTACCTGACGCTCAAGTCAGATGGTGGAGGTCAGATTAGAATTGAACCCAGAACCCAGGGGACTTTAGAAAGCCAAGAGCCATCTCTGATACCTGGCTTCATCTAAATCACACCTGATATTGATGGGCAGCGCATTTTGTCAATTCTTAAGAAAACACCCTTCGTTCTTCACCAGGGGTTTACATCACTCGAATGGGCTCTTCCACAAGTTCTGTAATTGCCTTCAGAATAATGTTGAAAAACCAATATTAAAAACTGGCGAACTCACTTTTGCATAGGTGGCTTGGGACCACTGTCCCTGCTGTGGCCCTCTGATAGTCCCAGAAAGGGGGAGTCACCCTCAGAGCTCACAGCGGATGTCAGGGGGAAGGGGACGGAAGTGCCTCCCCCTCACCGTTCTACCCGGAGGCAACATCACAAATGACCACAGCCCAGATTCTAGAACCCTTTCAAAGAGGGAGGAAAGAAGAGACTCCTTGAATTTTCTGCATCCTCACGGCCATGTGTGGCCTTTCTTTTCTGTTTTCTGTCACATCCTAAAACAGTAGCAAGGGAAGAAAGTGTCAACATGCAGAGTCTACATGCTCATGGCTCTACAGGCCTCAGGATGGCCTTGAACAACCTTGAGGGCCAAGATGGTGGCTCTCACCATGTCCAGCTTGGGCTTTGCCTGTGTTTACGGCTTTCAGAGAAGCCTGCTCTCAGAACTGGGGAAATGGCTGTGTCCTGGATGAAATCTGAGAGCCAGATTTTCCTTGAGCCTTTTCAGTGCACAGTGACTGTGCATTGCCTCTTTGTTCTGGTTGGTTTTGCCTGGATAGACTGGGCCTCTGCTGGGAAGAAAGTGGGGATTCCCAGCCCAGGAGTTGTTTTCCCCCTATGGAAAAGAATTGAACACAGAGGGTTGGGGAACCCAGGACGGAGAGTATGCTGGGTAGATGAAGGGCACGGTCCCTGTGGGATACTTCGCAGGCAGCCAGATTGGAGGCCACAGGATCCTGCCATTCTTGGCATGGTGGGTGGAGCATGTGGGATGGGGTCTGTGGGCATCTGAGCAGGACTGTGGCAGAGGATGGGTATAGTGAGGAAAAGTGCTTGGGTTTGGTGGAGCATATTGAGCAATGACCCAGTCTTGAGAGTAGAAAGAAGAGTCTCCTGGAGACAGGAGGGCAGCTGGGGAAGGAGGAGGGACACCATCCCCCAATCTTTGATAGGCAAAAGGAACATTTCAGGTGGAGAGGGCCTCTTCTCCAACTCTTCCCAATGTTGTGTTTTGCTATATGTTCAAACTCTTTCTTTCACAATGGCCAAGAGTGGTGTCTCTTTGGTTCAATTCGTATGTCTTAATTACAGGAGTGTAAATTGGTACAGCATTTTAAGTGAATGATTTGTCAATACTTAGAAAAACAGAATACCTTAGAAATTACCTCATGGATAAGTTCAAAGGTGGTCAGAGAAACACAATTGGTGGGAATAGGGCTTTCCCCAGGGACGGGCAAGTCAGTGACAACCTCACACAAGATAGTGTCCTGTGGCTGCAGAAATAAGCTCCATAGAGCAGTGCCAAGGGATCTCTCAGGGAGCTGTGGAGCAAAAGAGGCACAGGGAGGACTGTACATGCTTCACGCCCCGCATATGATAGGTTAGAATAATACAGTGCAAGGATGTAGGCAGGTATATGGGTGAAACTTTTCTGAAATGATCCTCTAGAATCAGTGAATTGTGGATACTTCTTGGGTTGAAGTTATGGTCTGGAGACTCATATTTCATGGCCTTTCATGGTGTTTGCAGTTTTTTTTTAAATCTCATGCATATATTGTATTCTATCTCAGGAGAGGAAGTGGGGAGCAGAGGGGGCTGAGGTGTGGCTGTGGGAAATCTGGGTAGGTGGGAAGGGAGACCCAAAACTGCTCCTATATGGCCAGGGGCATCCCATGGGCTGTGTTCAGTGCCTTCCAGATTCATGTGAGAGAGGCAGTGACCATAAGAACCAAACCTCCAGCAGGAGGGCAGTAGAGAGCTAGGGCAACAGTCTCACTGCACCAGCCCCTGAGATTTGCCATGTGTTTTGGGAAGCCAAGGGCCCCCTACCCAATGTTCCCTAGGAAGCCCTCTCTCTCCTGTGTTTATGCCTGGGGATAGTTGGTCACCATCTGATCTCTCTTCCATAGGCGACCCCACAGCTCCGACAGGACCATGTTGCAGAGGTGGCAGGTATGGTGGCCTCTGTAGGGAAACCCCACGGGGAGAGATGTAGACCAGAAGAGAGCTCAGGCCCCAGCAACCTGGAGAGGAAGATTGGGTTCATCCAGAGAGAGCTTTTGTTTTCAGGCACCAAATGTCCCAAATCTTTCCCTGACAAGGGCTCAGTGAGTGACACCAGGTGACTCTTGAGCACTAGGATCAGAGCTGGGAGTACACATATGTGTGTGCACTGTGGGTGCCTCTGTGGATACACATTTCCCTGAGACTTGCACATGGATGCACACTTGTGGACAGACAGGGTGTCACTTCTTGTTCTTAGAAAGCTACACATGGCTGATGTAAGCTCAAGCTTCCCCATGAGGAAGGGACCCCGAGGGAGCCAGTCCTGAGATCAGGAGGTGACAGGAAGTAGCAATGGGTTGCAGACATCTAAGATACCTCTCAGGAGCAAGCTGAGCTGGGAGAGACTCTGAGCACACAGGTCTTCATAGAGAGGGTCTTCCTGGGTGGCCATGGTGACTTTCTCCCCAGTACAAGGCCTCTGCCCTTTGTAACTGCTCACCTGATGGCAGAGAGATCCTGAGAGCCATCCTAGAGGCAGAGGGAGGGAGCAAGGTCACTCCTGAGGCCCTGAGGAGACAGATCACCCCACTGTTGGCCAGGTTTCCTTTGCTGTCCACCATGTCCCCCCACATATTCCCCTGGCCATGAAGGTCCAGCAGTGAGCTCACCACAGCACCTATGCTATTGTTTTCATCCCTGTTGAATGTGGATCAGTGAGCTCTGACCCTCTCTCTGGTCCCCAAAGGCTGCCTGCTGCAGGTCTGGTCCTGTGCCAGATGTGGGACAGACAGGACCATGTGTAGGCAGCCATCCCCAGCAGGCTTGTGAACCAGACTTCTGTGGCCTCAGAGGATATCTGACATGTTTGTTTTGTCCCCTCTGTCTCTCCTGGTAGAAAAGGGACATCAGCAATTTTGAGTACCTCATGCACTTGAACACACTGGCCGGGAGGACTCACAACGACTACATGCAGTACCCGGTGCTCCCCTGGGTGCTGGCTGACTACACCTCTGAGGTGAGCCTCCTCATGGTGCACTGGCTGCCCCAGAGCCCAGAGCACCCTCAGTCAGCACGCCCAGCCTCTGCCCAGCCCATGCACCGTGGCAGCCTTTGGAGTTCGGCCCACCTCCTCCTGTGGAGCGAGCACCAAAGAAGCACAGGGGCGAGCTCTGACAGTCATATGTAAGACAGGGTAGGGACTCTTCCTGGGGTTATTGTGTGCAGACAGGAGAAGAAACAGAGAGGTGAGAGAGAGAGAGAGGTAGAGAGAGACAAAAGAGAGGGGATAGAGACAAAGAGAAACAGAGAAAAAAAAGAAGAGAGACAGAGAAAAGAGAAGGAGACACAGAGAGAGGAGAAATAGAGACAAGGAATGACAGAGACACAGAAAGAGACAGAAGAGAGGAGAGTCAGAGAGAGGAAAAAGAAACAGAGACAGAAGGATAAAGACAGGAAAGAGAGAAAGAGACAAAGGAGAGGGCTGGGGCGGGGGGGGAGAGAGAGAGAGAGAGAGAGAGAGAGAGACCCTCTCTCCCAAAGTGTGATTTCAGCCGCTGAGTTGTTGGCCCCTGGCATCCCCATGACCTGAAACATGTGCTGATGGGGGTGGCTGATGCCAAGGCCAGATGGTCATCTCCCTCAGCTCCATTTCTGAAGAATCGCACAGGTAGGTGGCGTGGCACATGTGTCTGTTCAGGGTCAGTCAGGCCAAGGAGGTCTCTGGTCAGCAGAGGTTGGGTTGGGCCGATCACGAGGAACAGAAGATGGTGGGTCATTGGTACTGACCAGTTGGCCCATCCTGCCCAGGAACGCATGAGTGGCAGTGTCCAGGGCTTGGGAGAGGAGGCTCTGGTGGTTGTGACCTGCCACCCCCACTTAAAACATGGGAGGCAGTAAAGTTTTCCCCCGGCCTCACACGGCTTTTCATGGCCCACCCAAGGCCAGGCCTTCCCCTCATGAGGCTTGCCAACCCCAGCTTTCACTCAGGCTTTGGCAGGTGGTAGTTATTTTATGAGTCCTTTTTGCTTAATCTATTGCCCATATTTAAAATTTTTATTACTTACTGGAGTTTTAAAATTGAGAAATTTCTCTTAAAAAATCTGGGTCTCCAACATCTTGGAAAATCTGGAGATCTGGCACTTATGAGCCATTCTGAGAGGGAAAACCAGCAGGAACTGAGTCTGGGTCTGCAGCATCTCTTCTGTCCCTCACTGGGATCTGTCACTTCCCTCTGCCCTGGTCTGGCTTCTGCAAGGTCAGAGATGGTGACATCCCAGTCCCAGGGGAGCCATTATGGCTACTGCCATGGAGAAGAGAGGGTGATGAACATCTCTTCCTACAGAGAAATATGCAAGGCCTGGAAGACTGGGTCCTCCAGTGACACACAGGGCATCTCCACTATAAGAAAATGTGTCTGAGGACTGGTGGCCCCAAGCCTTCACATCTCACTCTTGCTGCCTTCATTGCTGGAAGGGTCAGTGGATCTGCAGAAAGCCACGATGTTCCTCTCCTTCTCTCCCCAAAACAGATGACTTCCAGCATCCTATAAAATCAGTTTGATGCTAAGCATCAACTGAAGCTGAACTCCTGGAGTCAATTACTCCATGTGGGCAGAAGCCAAATGCCTCTCGGGAGATGAGAATTGTTTTGCAAGTCTCTTTTTGGTAACTGGTGCCCGTGCTCTGCTTAGGGTCAACTTGGAACAGGTTCAGCGTGAACTCAATCTTTCCCTCCTCTCATTTCCCATCTCCCCCCTATTAAGTCTTTGTGGATCACTGGCTCCAGAGCCATAAAACCCCACTGGCTATCTAATCACCAGAGGGGGTCAGACCAAATGACAATAAACCAATAAAGGGAACCATAAAACTTAAAGAGCGTGGCTCTCAGAGCACAGAGGGCTGTGGGGAGTTAACGCAACTGCACATCTGCCTTCTAGACGCTGAACTTGACCAATCCCAAGACTTTCCGAGATCTTTCCAAGCCCATGGGGGCTCAGACCAAGGAGAGGAAGCTGAAATTCATCCAGAGGTTTAAAGAAGTTGAAAAGACTGAAGGTACATAGCTCCCGGTTTGGTCTTTCTTGTGTAGTATTGTTCACCTGGAATGACTGGGAATGGCTTAGGCAGCCTCCTAGCCTATGCATAATTGCACTTGATGGAGAACTTTCCAGTTTGCACTGAGCTCCTGGGACACACAGAATAACGACCTGGAAGAGCTGTTTTCTTGAAGTGCTAAAGTTCAGAGCTCATATCTGAAATCTGATTTAAATGAGTCTGTGGCGTGGCACCACCTGGGTGACTCCGAGATCCATCCTTGGTGTCATGTAGCATGCTCAGAGCTGCTGACTCATAATGAAGGGCAGGCAGAGGCAGTGGAACTGTCTTCATTCTGCACATCCTCCTGCTGGGCATAGGGCTGTCTGTGTTCACGTATACAGTGGAGGGCACTGACGCTCAGATCACAGCTTCAAAGGGTGGAGGTGGCTTGGGACTGGCCCTAGAACCTGGTTCCCAGACCCAGTGCATCTGCACGTCACTTTGAGGTGTTTGATACATGCACGTGCTGCCTGTACTCTTGCTGCCTTAATGTCTTTTCTGCAGCTCTACTCCATTCCTAACCTTCCATAAGCGTGTCTTCTGGTGAGCATGTTTGCCCATATGCGTGTCCAGTGGCCTCAGCCATGTCCTTCTGTTGCAGGAGACATGACTGTCCAGTGCCACTATTGTACCCACTACTCCTCTGCCATTATTGTTGCCTCCTACCTGGTCCGGATGCCACCCTTCACCCAGGCCTTCTGCTCTCTGCAGGTGAGCTTCATGAACACACATCTGCATGTGTATATGTATACACATGCATACTCACAAGCTCACTGACAACTGTGAGTATAGGCTGGGAATGATTGCTGCTGGTTCTGGCTGCTGGGTTCTGCTTCATCCAGACCAGGCCGGCTGTTCTTCATCAGGGGTGCTCTCTTGCTCATCTGTCCAACAGTCTTACAAGAAAAAAAAAATCCTCTAAAATACAAGGAATAAAGGAGATGAAAAAACTCTTAACATAAATAAACATAGAAGAGAAGGAAAGCAGGAAGACTGGAGACCAGAAAGACAAGCAAAGATTAAAAAAATAAACTCAAGAAGGAGCAATGAGAAGAATATGACTCAGGACACCAGACTGCATACATCTGCTAAGTACAAGCTGAAAGGCTCCAAAGGACAAACAAAATATTTGAAAACCAAAACAAACAGCTAACCCAGGGCAAGAGCTAATTGACATGCCCACCCACAAACCAACAAATCATTATGCCAGCTTAGGGTTGCTAGGTTTTGCAAATAAAGCTACAAGATCACTAGTTAAATTTGGATTCCAGATAAACAGTGATTTTCAGATAAACCATGACTTATATAAAAAATTATCTGTTGTTTATCTGGAATTTCAGTGTTGCTGGGCCTCCTGTGTTTTGCCATCCCTGGCAACCCTAAGGGAGCTGGAAGTGAGCCAGCCTACCACCGAGTGGGGGATCGTGTCTGAGACCTGGGCTTCTGGGGCAGAGTGCCCTTGGGCAGCATTGTGAGGGACCAGGAAGCTTTTCCTCTCTTTTCCTGCAACTTCGTCATGGTCACAGGGACTCTGTGCATGCAGGGACAGGGACCTCAAAGGAACAGCCTGTGATACGCAGAGCCTCAGGCGGCCCCAGAGCAGCCAGCTATTTCTGCCTACTGCAAGCATGCACACAGGGCCAGCTGTGCCTGACCCACCCTGGTTTTGTATGGTCCACAGAGAGGAATGTATGTGCGCAGCAGGCCACAGACACACCCAAGCCTCCTCTCAGAGACCTGTGAGCATCCCAGGAACAGAGTTGGGGCTGAGCTCACCAGCAAGATCACTCTTCACAGTCACTTGGAGGAAGTTGACCCTAAGAGACTAACGGCCGCTCTGGGTCAGCACAAAAGCCAACTCCGGAGCCCTGCACAGGACTGGGTATGCAAGGTCAGGGCGCCTTCTCCAGTAAGAAGCAAACCCCTCCTGTCTTCTGTTTCTTGGCACAGGCATCTCTCTCCTTGACTTCCTGACAGCATCAGGCTCGTCTAGACATTGTATAACCCCCACTCCCTGGAAATTCACTCAAAAAATAATAAATGTGCTTCCCCCGAGTCTTTCTCCAGCAACAAGCATTTTAAGTAAGTTTAGTTTGGAGAATGAATGGTCCCAGAGCTCTACCTCGTGCCAAGAATCCCATCCAGATGTTGCTCATTAATCCACAAGAAATGATGATCACTGTTGATGATGATAATGATGAATTCCATCACTTTCCATCTAGGGAGTTGAAATGTTTAAATGCTCAGGGCACTGAATTTCAGAGTTTCCCCTCTGTCTCTTCAGTTGAATGCATTAAAGCCAGAAAGCCCAGCTCTACCTGTTGCTAGGGGTCTTTACAATAGGAGGAGGCAGATTGAAATTTGAACAGCCTGGGCTATGAGATTTTCATCCCAGCTCTGCCACTTGATAGAAAGAAAATCTCAAGTTACTTTACCTCTGGAAATGAGAGTTAATTATGCACATCTCACTGGTCTGTTGAGAAAATGTGGGGAAAGCCCCTAGTTCAGATGATCAATCACTGTGACTTCTCTCCATCCCTCTGCAATCAGCCAGCTCTACTATGAGAGTGGGCCTGATCTCGTTTAAGCTGGTCTCCCCTGGCTGAACCTAATTCAAGGCAGTCTGGACTGCATCTAAGATTCCAGCGGAGCATAAGCCAGACTAAACAGGTGTGCTGTGGACCCACAAGGACATGTGGGTAATGGCCACTTTCAAGCTCATCACTCGTTTGTGCTTATGGGTAGCCAGTTTGATTCGTGATAACCAGGCCAATCTAGTTTGAGATGGTCTAAAACAGTGAGAGATGGTCAGAGCCAACTGCACATGCTTTCCTCTGAACTGAGCCCCTTTAGGCCCCTGTGTGGTCTCTGTTGTGACTTCTGGCACCTTTGCGCTCAAGTCTATCTTTGTCAGAGTGACCCATCCAGATCAAAGCCATCTGGACCCTCCACATGGGCCTCAGAATCCATCTCTCAGTTACTTTCCCACCTCTGAATGACTTCTTGTCATTCAGGTCAGGGTTGGTCTAAGCCTCTGGAGCCAGCAAAAGAACCAGCCATTTCCTGCTTCTTCCTCAACAAAAGATGAGATTTACCTCTTTGCAAAGGAGTGGGTACAGAGGGAGGGAATGTGCCTACCTCCCCTTTGGGAGCCCTGGGCCTCAGTAGCCCTGCTCAGGAATGTTCTGGAATCTTCAGGTTCTGCCCTCCATCCCCCTCCCTCCCTCCCTCCCTGGGGGCAGTCCTGTTTCTTTTATCCCTGTGGTGACAAGGAAGGGGCCTTCCATAATCTCAACAGCCAAGGTCTGACTTCCAGCCTGGTTTGTAGAATGAATGTATCTGCTTAGAATCCACACATAGCCTCTCAGCTACTTTAGCTCCTCTTGGGAATGACTGAGAATGTGGGACCCTTGGACACAGAGGAATAGCTGTGTCTGCCCTTGATTTAAGCAGGTGGCCCATACCACTAGCATGACGGGACACATGTTGGCTATGTGGTCTGTCATCCCCGCTCCCTGAAGTGTGAGCCACTGTCTTCCAGGCTGGGGCAGGTCTCTGGTTCCCTGCAGTGTCCTCTAATTCTCACGAGTCTTTCGGCCTAGAGCCCAAGTCCAGAGCCTCTAGAAAGTTGTGTCACCAGGTGGCCCCATCCTGCTGGCCCTGCCCTGGCACCCGTGTCTGCCCCAGCAAAAGTGCCAGGTGTTCTCACATCAGACCCAGCCTCGGTGGGGCCAGAAGGCAGCCAGTGCCCACTGAGGACACAGCAGCAGTGAGGCTGCTGCTGCTGCATTTAATAAGAAATGGAAATAAAGCAGTGGGCTAATTAAGTTGCATCCCTGTGAAGTCAGCAGTTACCAGCAGTGGGGACGGGCCTTCCCTACCACCTGAGGAGGGCTGGCAGGCTGGTGTTAGACACTAACTGTGGAAAAAGCCAGGCCCAGGTAGTGTTTGGCTGCCCTAGCTATTCACCAGGGAGCTCCTGGTGGGTGAGAGGAGGAGCTGGGTGCCCAGGTCAGTGCCCATCGCCCACCACCTGCACGTACTGCTCTTACCCTGGCTTCTGCCTCCTGACCCTTTGTGTGAGCCTGAGACACTGCCAGGTGTGCAGGCCAGACCTGGAGGCTCCAGCCAGGCCCTGATGGCAGCAGCAAGATGTGAGTCTGTGAGGACCCTAACTATGACTCAGGAGACCCTTTAGGGTCCCCAACATAGTATAATTATGAGGACACAGACTTAGCAAGGGCATTATAAAGGCACATGTGATAGAGTCCAGCCATCTCGGAATAAACTGCTTCTAGAACTTTCTAATGGGTAGTGCTGCCTAACTCAGCCTCAGTTTCCTTTGAAAGAGCCCCTCACTGGGTGGGGGTGGGGTGCTTGGCTATGCCGACTCCTCCATGCATAGCTGCTATCCTCCTGTCTCCTCAGGAAGAGCCATCTCCTGCCAGGAGAAGAGCTGGTGGCCTCAGTCAGAGCAGACTCAGTCAGGTGCCTGACAGCTTCCCAAATATGCATGAGGTTGCAGCTCTTAGCTTTGGAGCAGGAGTCGGGCCTGGCATTTTCCACAGGAACTCCTGGAGCAGTGCTCCACGTCTCTTCTGCCCTCACATGCCAGCCTTTCCTCCCTTGGCAATGGCTTTGCCTCATGATGCCTTCCCTGCTTCCCGTGCTCACCCTAAGGTTCTCCAGCCCCTCAGCCTCTCACCTCTGTCCCTGTCCCTGCAGAACCCCCTTCCTTTTCTCTCCCTTTCTCCTCCCACCTTCTATCTCCTTCGCTTTCTCTTTCTGGGAGCTCCTGGTTGCCTTTCACACACACATGGAATTTGGAGCCCACACTAGGATGACGCTGCATCCTTGTCTACTAGGGGAAAGAACACAGGGGCGTGGCGCCTGGCACCACTCTCTATGTGCCTCAAGAACTGTGCGAGGCATGTCACACATACACGTATACACACATCCACACGTATGAGTACCCACAGGCGCACACGTGTACATGGGTCTTCATGTGCATATACTCACCTGTACATAATACACTCTGTATCAGTCCCTTTCTCACCCCTGAGACACAACACCCGACACCCACCAGTTAAAGGAGGTGAGGTTTATTTTGGTTCACAGTTTCAGAAGTTGACTAGCCAGCTCCAAGGCAGAAATGGCATTGTGGAGGGCCCTGGTGGAGGAAAGTTGCTCACATCATGGTGGAGAGGAAGCAGAGAGAGTAGGGAGGAGCCAGGATGGGAGACAAATATTTTGGGGTCATACCCTTAGGGAGCCAGCCCTAATAGCACACTCAGCTGCTGAATCTACCAATAAATGTAGCACCCCAGGATTTAGCTGCCTTCCAAACACATGAGGCTTTGGGGCCATTTCAGATCTAAGCCTTCACACACACGCATTCATACCTGTACATACACACTGTACACTCAGGTGCACAGACATGTACACACGCACATGTACACACATATAATTGCTTTCACATCCACAATAATCACCTAAGGTTTGCAGAGGAGGGAATAGGTGGTTAAAGAGATGAAGAAACTCTTGTCCACTTGCACATAAGTAGGCAGGCCCTCCAGTCCCCGCCCAAGCTCCCTCTGCCAGGGCACACTGCCTCTTTGGTGGATCGATGGTGTCTTAGGTCACTGGCATGTCCACAGGTCCCCTAAGTGATTGCAGAGGAGACTTTAAAACTATTAGCAAGAATATCTAGGGCAAGCATGGGTTGTTGGCTTGCTCATGAAGCCGACCCTATTATCAAGATGTGAGCAGGGCTAGTCCTAGATGGAAGGAAGGCCCGACTTTCCAGAATGTGTTGTGAAATACCTGTGCTCTCAGGTGTCCTGAGCACATCTGGTTTCTGAGTTTCCTATGGAGGTGGATTGGGAATTGAATGTTTTTGTCCTGGAGCACATCCAGTTTCTGAGTTTCCTATGGAGATCGATTAGGAATTGAATGTTTTTCCCCAACATATTTCTGCTGTGGCAGAGAGGGGTTTGAGAATACAGCGGTTGAAGTGTTTATCCAGGGACCTTGGTGCACGGACTCTGTGTCCCCACATAAGAGGGTCACCTTTTGAGTCTTCTCTAGCAGTACTGTGCATCTGCAGCTGAGGAAAGATTCATTAGGTTTCATTGCTTCTGAATCCCAAGCTGCACTCTGGTTGTACTTGTAAGTGATGTCTAAACTGGGCTAAAAGCCAGATGCTCTGACAGTTTGCCACAGAGCTCTTTAGCTGTGGCCTGGCTTCAGTGTCTTCTGGCTGGAATATCGCATGGGATCCTCTGCCAATACAAAGTCAGTCCTCTGTTGACAATTGTGACCTTGCTATTATTTTTAACATTCCATTTGGATACAATAGAACTCACTGTTCTTGATATTCAAGAGTATCTGCAGAATAGAAGTAGGAACAGATCTTTGTTCTGGAATTCTCTCTGATCACTTTATTTCCTTCCAACTTCCAGAGTTGATTCTGTTGTCTATTTCTTTTGGCTTTGGGCTTTCCTTATGCAGCACTCCGTAAACCTGAACTGTGCATCTGTCTGTATCTCCCTTCCTTACCCTTTCTTCCTTCTATTTTCTCTACCTCTTCTCTTTCCTTCCTTCCTTCCTTTCCTGAGAATCAAGTCCTAGCTGGAACTCAGGCCAGCAGCCACTAGAGTTTATGTCAGCCACAGACTTACAGTAGGAGAAACAAAGCTACTCCATTTCTTCTTCTAGGGAATTTGGTGTTTTGTTTTGTATTGCAGAAGTGAAAACCCATTAATTTTGAAACAAATGTATGCAAATACATTTATTAATATAGGCAATAGGAAAATCAGTTATTGCTTCCTTTATAAATAATACAGGCTTAAGTTTTAAAGATATTACTTTTGCTAAAATGCATTAGACAGCTGTGAAAAAAATAACATTTTTCTTTGTGGTAATATCTTTAACCAGATTTGTAGCACTAACAATATTTCCTATGTATATATTATTTTTATTTAATACAGGTAATCTTTTTATTACCAAATCATATTGTTTCTCAGGAGATTACCATCAGTGCTCATAAAAGCTGCAAAAGGAAAAATGGGGCACTGCGAAGGCATCAATCTCCCATGATGTAAAGCTCAGGCTGCAGATTAAATACACAGAGCTCTTAATACATTTCAATGAGTGACTCATTAGGTGCAGATTTATTTAGATTCCCTTCATTTTATTTCCATTTCAATTTAAATTTGATGGTGGACCTCATCTCCTAATTTCAACCAAGAGCAAATTGACCTCAGGGAACAGCTACAGCTTCATGCTATCCATGTACTGTGTTGGGTGGAGACCCCACACATAACTGAGTACCTTGATGTCCCTGTCCCTCTGTGGAGAATGGGCAATGGGTCCCACTGGGGCCTTAACTCTTGCCCAGAAGATTGACTAGCCAGACCATGCCCCTTAGGATACCCAGGTGCAACCCGCCCACCTTTCAGAAAGACCTAAATGCCCCTTAGCCCGTACATAGTATATCACTTCCTCCAGTCTAGGAATTTATCCAAGAAACAGGCACAGGGCAAAGCATGTCCCTTGGAGTGGCATCTTAGGTCTGACCCAGGATCCCTGCTCTGTATTTACCTTCAGGAAGATCAGTACCCTTGGAGGAGCCTCCATTTTCCCATCTGCAAGATAGAAGCACCATCCCTTCCTAACGCACCTGCTGTGAGGATTAGGAGAGGTCACTTCTTTGTGCATAAGGCAACTAACAGGACAAGTGAACCAAGACAATGCTTTTATCCTTTCTGAGCTGCAGTCACCTGATGCTGTGATGGGTAGATCCTGATGAAATGAAAGTTCCAGGCCTCTGAGATGGAACGGAGAGGAGGCACAGAGGGTTCTGCTCCTGTTCTTGTGGCCTCCCGTGTGCTCTGCAGAATGTCCGAGCTCCTTGTTTGTCTCTGAGCCTAAATGGACCCAAGGTCGAGTTTCAGAAACCCTTTTCTAAAGTCCCTCTGTTCCAGCATCATCACCTCTGCCCTTAGTACCTCCCCCGAGGCCCCTCTTTGCTTCCTCCTGATCCTCAAGACAACCTGATGTATAGGGGTGGCCAGTTTGGCAACTAAAGAGATGGTGTGACAAATCAGGTGAGAGGACCAGGCATCCAAGGAAGGACTGCCCTCAGTGTCACTAGGTCCATGCCACCTGCCAGGCTCGGGTGGGATCAGGTCACCCCCACGGGGAGCCTTGGGCCTAGGTGGCCTTGGAAGGTGTCATGGGGTTAGGTCTTTCCTTGCTAGCCTCCTGCCCTGAGTGCTGGCATCTTCTAGCTCCTTCCTCGTGTCAAAGTCATGGCTACTGAGCTCTCAGAACACTGCCAGCACCTGTCACCAGGCTCCCGGGCTCACCTGAGTTGGGATTCTCCAGGGGGGGCCACAGATGTCAATGGACCACAGCTTACTGCATCTCTGTGCTGTAGTCAACTCCTTATTTCCTGTCTGTGACCATCGACTCTGATCCTCTCCAGAGCTGAAGCTGAGCTACCATCACCCTTGATGCCTTATGTCAAGGACTTGAATCAGTGTCTCCAGCAACCTCAGTAACAGCCAGCAGAACAGCTATGGTTTCGTCTCTGACCTGAATTCAGGTTTCCACAGTGGAGACACAGGATACCCTGAGTCCCAGGGGTCATTTCCTCTCCCAGAGGGCCCAGGTCCCTGGCAGTGAGAGGGTAGGTGCTGAATGAGAGGATGGATCAGAGTCCAGCACTGCAGCCTGTGCCACCGAGGCAGGAAGGAAGGAGGACACCCCGACATGCGGGGTGTGGCAGCTGAGGACTCGAAGGCATGCGGCTGATCCTGTTGTCCTTTTCCTGCAGGGAGGAAGCTTTGATGTGGCTGACCGGATGTTCCACAGTGTGAGGAGTGCATGGGAGTCAGCCTCCAGGGAGAACATGAGCGATGTCCGAGAGCTGACCCCTGAGTTCTTCTACCTGCCCGAGTTCCTCACCAACTGCAACGCTGTGGAGTTTGGTGAGTGGGGCCCGGGTAGGATGCTGGGGTGAGGTCTGGCACTGGGCCTGGCTCCTCCCACAGCTCCCTGCTCATCATTAACCTGTTATCAAGGTCTTTGTGGGCAATTCAACCAACAGCCTCTTGACAGGCCCAGCACTTGGAGTGTGAGGTTCCCACCAGGGGCAGCAGCCAAGTGCCAGTCAGTTGCCAAGCAAGAATGCAAGCCCCAGCTGTGACCTCAGAAGGCCTTGGTAATAACCTGGGTCTGCCCTGCCCCCTGTGACCTTGGCCAAGCCTCTGCCCATTCCCACCATGTTCCACAAGTGGGCAGATGCCTTTGTCCTGCAGCCCAGGATGGGCCAGGCCTTTTCCTGCTCTGGACAATGGGTACCTTGGTGTCTGCTGTACCCAGGGAGCTGCCTTTGGGAACCTGTGTGCAAGCAACTTGCCGAGGGCAGGGTGCAGGAGAGCTCTCCACCCAGTGCAGGGCAGCCGTGAGCAATGCCCAGCCAGGATTCACCAGCCCTGCAGAGGGCTCTTGGAACTGTCACCAAGCACCCTGGAGGCCCAGAGCACCCCTTCCCTGGAGTCCCCTTCTTCCTCCACAAAACACAGGCGGGAGTGCTCCTTGAGCCAATCAGGGTGACCCGGGAACACAGGAAAGGAGTTTTGCACCCCAGAACCTCATGTGGTGGCTTCCTGCCATGGATGTGCCCTAGATTCCTGTGGGGCATTTTAAGACACCTCTGCCTGACCTGAACCCAGTGAGTTAATTCTTGGAATTGGGGGCTTGGCATTGTTCGAAATCCAAAGAACAGTTTGAGCCATGTGTTGGAGCACATGGAGTAAGTCAGGGCGGTGAAGACAGGAGGAGCAGCTGGTGGCCTAGGGTGGACCCCAGGCAGAACCACCTCTGTCCATTCAGTGAGTGGCCCTCTGGAAAGGCATGGCAGGCATTGCTGCAGAGTGGACCGCACATTCCAGGGATGGAGAACACAAGGACCGGGAGGGCAGGTGTTCTCAGGTGGTCAGGAGAGCATGTGGTCCTGGAGCACCTGTGAATTGGGTGGTTTTCCTGGGACTAACTATGCTGAAGATGGACATGTTCTGGGCGGCAAGCAGGAAGGGATAGGAACACAGACAAGGAAGAGATATGCATGGAGTGCTGGGAATCCTTCAAGGAACACACAGGAAGTGGCTGGAGAACAACTGTGAGGGGCCTGGGTTGTACTGGCCTCCAGGAAGGACAAAAGAGAGGACAAGCATGCTGAGGCTGAGTGACCAGAAGGGCCAGGCCAGGAGAGCAGTGGGTTTTATTCTGGTTGTACCCTTAGCAGGACCACAACTGGCATCCCGCAGCATCCGCCACAGGCCTGGTATTCCAAGCTTGTTTTGGGTATCTTCTCTTGTCACCCTTGTGCCACCCCTCCACAGTACCTCCCATTGTCACCTTCAGTCTTACAGTGGTAGAACTGAATCCCAAGGAAGTTACTGACTTGCTCAAGGTCAGCAGTTGACAGGGAGGAGAGCAGCCTGGCTGGGAGCCAGGCCCTTCTTCCTACTATCCAGGGCATCTTCATTGAAAAACCCTGCTGCTCTCCTTTAAAATGGGGAAAACATGCAAAATGATAGCGGGAAGGCTGGCTGAGATGTGTGTCCCGGGCTTCCCCACTTGCCCTCGAGGTTGGCCGCTGGGTGTCATCACTGATTGCTGCCTAACAGTTTGCACCTGGGGAAAAGTCCTGGGCCTCGTTGTCGGGGTGGGGCTTGTGAACTGTGGTGACATGAGGACCGTTCCATGTGACTTGGGGCTTCAGCACTGGGGCTGCCTGGGAATCGAGGGGACCTCATGGAAGAGACACAGGCTTCTAGGTCCCTAGGAGTTTAGGGAACTGCTAGAGATGGAGCAGGCAGGCACAGGGGTGTTCTGACAGGGGAGGCCGAAGCAGGGTGCACTCCTAGGGGCACTGGCCCAGGTGGCTCCCAGTGATCTAGTGCACCTTGCTCTTCTGCACCCCCAGGTTGCATGCAGGATGGGACAGTGCTGGGTGATGTCCAGCTCCCTCCCTGGGCAGATGGAGACCCTCAGAAGTTCATCAGCCTGCACAGACAGGTGAGTTTCGCCTCCGACTATGTCCTGCTGTGGATCTCAATATCTCCTCAGATTCTGTGGAGGCTTTCTGTCCCCAGGGGACCCATAAGTACTGAGGCTTTTATGTCACCCTGGGATTCTCAGCTGTGTTGAGAGCCCCGTTCTGCTTTGTGCCTATGCGGGAGGCTGAGGGGAATCACTGCAGGAAGTGAGTTCCGTGTCCTGAGCAAGCCCTAGAAGCAGAGCTGGCCCTGGGGTCACACCTCAGCAGCAAGGCTTGGAGGACTTTCCAGGCCAGGAGAGGATGTGGCCTGTGATGCAGAAGGGCTGACGCAGGTGGAGGCCAGAGGCTACTGGCGATGCTTCCCGGGATCACAGGCCTTCCTGGCTGACAGGAGGAGGTGAAAGGTGTGATACATCTTTGGTTGTCATGGAAATGGGAGTCAGAGCCTCAGGGAGATAATGCTGCACACTCACAGAATCAGAGCTTGGCATCTGGAATGCACTGAGTTGAACTCTTTCTGGAAAGAGCACAGTGGTTTCTGCCAAAGTGGAAGTTGCCTCTGCCAGTCTCCTGCAAGTGCCCTGTGAGTGTTCATCTAAGAGAAGGGAAAACATTCCTTGTCAAAACCTAGGGCACCAGCATTCACCATTTTTACCCAAACCAGTCAGTAACTGAAAAGAGCCCAAATGTCCATCAAGAAATAATACATCCACATGGTGGAATTCTACACAGCAGTGAAAGGAGCAGGCTTGCTGATAACAGAACAGCACAGGAGTTCAGAGTGTTTATGCCAAGTGAAAGATGCCACCCTGAAAGCAATGTAGTATGTGATTACTTTTATAGGTGAAGCTGTAACAAAACCTCATGAGTGTTACTGTGGTTGGCAGCACGGCAGTGACTGAAAGTAATACAAGGTGCCTTGAGAGTGGATGGAAATGTTCTGTCTCTTATGCTATGGTTACATGGCCACATGAATTTTTCAGAATATGTTAAATTGTATGTTTTTACAGCATTTTATGGTATGTAAATTAGACCTGAAACATGGAGCAGGCTACAAACCTGTGACTACAAACCTGTGCTTTTCCCTCAGGAAGGAGGAAATCCTCCCCTGGCACACCCTTGCTGCTCCCACAGCTCCCCAGTGTGGGATGTTGGGTCAGAGATGCCCTTGACAAGGGTGGCAGCTGCCCCATCTATCAGCACACAGAGCACCGTGATTCAGTACTTTGTCACCAGGCCTGTGGGCGGAAGCCAAACTGGATGCAGATGTGACTGAGGACAGAAGGGAGCTGATAGTTTCCAAGTAGAAGGATGAGGGAGGTCCAGATCAGGTGAAGGCAGATCTGAGAAGTCAACAGCCAGCAAGACAGGAAGTGGCTTTCTCCAACCAGTGTTTGATGAGTGCTTTTGAAGGTGGAGCAGCTATGGACGCTGACATGGGTGAAGGGGTATCCACAGTAGTGGATGACTTTAGGAGGAGTAGAAGAAGAGTCTTCAAATAAAGGGAGCCTAAGGGACTGAGTGTCTGGAGATGGCAGTCACAGAGGATGAAGGCAGATCTGAAAAGAAGGGAGGTATGGCAGGGTGACTTTCACTGGTGGGCAGAATAGCAGAGGCAGGTCATTGAGGCAACACTCTGTGGAGGATGGAGCTGGCTCTCAGGAAGCACAGAGAGCAAGCATTTTGTTCTTTTCACACACAGAAGTGGTCAGAAGATGGAGCCACAGACTTGTGGCTGTGTCCAGCAAGCGGCTGCCACGTGGCTTGCTGAAGGGCACAGGAGCCAGGTTTCACTGGGGGGAGGAGGAGGGACCACTCCAGACCAGCCTTTGGACATGGCTGTGAAGGAATAGGAAAAGGGCCCAGCAGGGGTCAGATGTCCAGGTTTGTTACTTTCCCTTGGGGATATGGCATCGACTGGTGACCACATAGAATGGCCACTTTGACCACAGACCTCGGGAACCTGGTACAGGTGGCTAGGCTTCCCTGGGCCCAGGCGTGGAGCTGTGTGTCCTCCCAGAGAGCCACCAAGGGGAGCACAGACAATGCCCAGTAGACACCTCTGGGTCCTGGAGATGCAGCCTTCGGGGGCTGTGCCCAGACAAAACAGGTGCCATCTATCAGTGATGTCCAAACCCTGGGCTATATTTCCTCTTGCCTGTGGGTGACAACCAGTAAGAATTGTGTTCAACTTGGGTGCCCTAATCTAGGCTGGCACCACCCATCTGGACTATGTCCATGAGGGATCCAGCATGCTTATTAGCTCTTACGCTACATTCCTTCTGTTTTCTGTTGGATGTCACCTTTAGTTACAGGTGGGTGCTTCTGGCTTTCTGGAGGAGCTGTGCTTTTGAGCTTTGTGAGGTTTCGTTCCAGTTGAGAGGCTGTGAGCTCTGAGCCAGGCCTGGTGGCTGAGACTGGGAACTCTCCCATTGGGAGCAGCAAGCCTGAGCATGTACAGTGTTCCTTGGATGTGGACCTAAGTCTCTGTGTGCCAGCTGTGTCCCTGGCTGGATGGAGGTGCCTCACCGAGGAAGCTACCATCCTGGGAACTGCGTGCACCTCAGAGGCAGAGTCTGTGCTTCCTCTGCCAGAGGTGATTCAGCAAGACGCCTATCCCAATGTCAGTGGTTTCTGTGACCTATGTGAATGAGACCTGCTCAGCAGAACTGAAGTCCTTGGGGGTATGAAAGCTCCAATATGAAAACTGGAAGCTGGAATGGGGGGTGATTATTCCTGTCAGCCAGAGGGGTTGTTGATGGGAACGGACAGGGACACCAACCAGGCCATTCCTAGCACCAGGCAGGTGCTTGGGTGTCACCGACCACATGGATCTCAGCTTTGTCCTCACATTCACCTCAGAAGACAGCCCAATCCCAGGTGAAGAAGCTGAAGGCTGGAAATGTAAAGGAACATGCAAATGGCGACCTCAGCTCCAGGCTGCTCCAGAGTGTGCTCTGGGACATCTGAGACTCTCGGTCTCAACCTCTTGAATTTCACAGGCAGAACTAGCTCTGCTGACTGCTCTGCCAGAGCTCAGAAGGACCCAGGTCTCCTCCATGTCAGCATCACCCCTGGACCTGCCTGCATAGACATTCTAAATGGTGTGGCTGTTGTATGAGTCAGATGAGCTGGAGTGCTGGGAATATTTAGATCTGGATGGCAACTGGGTGGCTGCAGGACTCGGGTGGCCCTAGGTGGCTGCCCCTCTGCCTGCTTCCTGCTCGCCAAGCCCAGAGGCCATCAGTCACCTCCTGCCTGTGTGGCACAGGTGTGCCCCCTGACCCATGCAGAGCATACACAGCCCCCTTAGCAACTTGGGTTTTCACGTTCTTTGGGCTTTTATTCCAGGCTCTGGAGAGCAACTTCGTCAGCGCCAACCTCCACCACTGGATAGACCTCATTTTTGGGTACAAGCAGCAGGGCCCAGCTGCGGTGGAGGCAGTTAACACCTTCCACCCCTACTTCTATGGCAACAGGGTGGATCTCAGCAGCATCAGTGACCCCCTGATCAAGAGCACCATCCTGGGGTTTGTCAGCAACTTCGGCCAGGTGCCCAAACAGGTAAGGCAGGCCAAGTCCTTGTCTTGCTTCTCAGGAGAGCATGCGAAGCATGAGCTTGTGGGAGAGAGGACAGCAAGGACAATTCTGTCCTGGGGAGGGGAGGGCAGGAAGGGCAGAATGGTCCCAACCATCTTCCTGGGCCTTTAATGTCAGAGCTTAACCCTCACTTATCTGCTGAAGGTAATAAAGACGATGAATCCTGGATGATAGCCCTGAGGGCTGCATTCTTCTTCTGTGTCACATGTGATAGACCCTATGATAAATTACCACACCATTCTGTATCTAAGTATTTGCCCTTCAGGTTATTATTTCTAGTGAGTTAAGACACATCAAGTGCTTGAAGGTGCACGAAATATGGCTGGCTCATCAACAAGAGTTAGTTATTGGAGTGATCTTGTCTTTAGATCTGAGCATAGCACGTTTCTTCTATGGAGCAGGAAACTGGGACCCAGAAAGGCTGTGTAAGTCACCCGTGTGGAACTAGCATGGACCACTAGCAGCAGAAGAGGCAGAGCTCTGGTCAGTGGGCCACTTGGGAAGGTGGCCCCAAAGCATGGGCCATATGGCCACTGCCTAGGAACATCTTCCTCCTGATGAGACTTCAGGGGTCTTGGCTGGGCCCTGGGCTCTGCTGGCTCTGGTTCCCATGGGCACAGTTACTCAGTACCAAGAGGTTGTGCGTGGCCCATGCTGCCATACTTACGAGACATGTGCAAGGGAGCAAGATGCTTATTTAACTACCCCAGCCCTGTGGACTCCCGAACTGTGGCTCTGCGTGTCTCCTTGGTGTCCTCTCTGCCTGGTCCTGTGTAACCTAGAGGTTTGCTCATTCCCTGGTAAGGTGCATGGGAGAGGAGCCAGGGGAACTTGGAGGTGGGGGCACATCTAGCGTGGGTTTGCAGGGAGCTTTGCAGACAGGCCAGCATCTCAAAGAAGAGCATGGCAGCCTAATAGCTTTTTCCTTGAATTTAGATATACATAATAATATGAATAAAGCAATAAAACAATTCAAAGTAATAGCCTGCCACCCAGCAGGCCCAGTTTTATATGTGTGCAGCCCCTGTCCATAAGCACGTATCTTTACCTGTCACTGTGATCAAGGAGTGCACACAATTTTAGATTCTGGTCTTACTTTGTGATACATATTACTATCCCTTATCCAAAATGCCCACAATTTGAAGTATTTCCAACTTCAAGTGGTTTTTGGAATTTGGAATATTTGCCTAGACTCCCCGTTCAGCATCTATAATCCCAAAACCCAAGCTTAAAAATGCTCCCAAAATCTTTCTTAGTATGATGTCAGCGTGCAGGAACCCAGGAATTTCAGAATATTTCAGAGTTTGGATTTTTGGATTAAGAATGCCCAACCTGTTTATCATGTTGAGCATTTAAAACTATTTCCAAGTAGTCGTCAGAATGAGGCTTCATGCTGTCCCATCTGAGGATGGGATCAAAGTGCTTCTTTGTCCCACTCAAGGGCAGTGAAATTGTGCTGGGGACCCAGAACCCAGCCTGTGGGCCCAGGAGGTGTTTTGTGTGAGATGCTATTCAATGTTCACTAGCACTTCTCTCTTATTCAGTCACAACACGGCTTTCTAGATAGTTCAGCATTTGATCACAGGCTATAACTAAGCTGAGGCTGTTCTGAGAACTTGAACTTGAATTTGACCACTGACCCTGCCCATGTCCCAGCAGGGACGGGCTGTCACCTTGGTTCCTTCCACAGTGTACCCAGCAGCCAGTTCCCTGTGGGAGTGCAGAAGCCAGCAGGGAAGGCAGGCAGGGGAGCCAGAGCTGGGCACGCACTTTGGGTTAGCAGGTGGGACTGGGCCAGGTGGTGCAGCTGCACACCTGACGTTTGCCCAGCAGTGCAGAGAATTTGGCATTAGGGACAATCTGATGGAAGAGACCTGAAGGGAAAGAATAAGGCCACTAACAGGGTCCACCCACATGGGAACATTTGCATGGATGCTGTTGAAATGCTGACACCAGGATGGATGAGCCTTTGAGCAGGATGTAAGGGGGAAGAAAACCAGGAGAAATGGCTCCAGCAGATGAAGGACACCTGGGATTTAGGCAAGGCAGGGGCCCTTCTGACCCCAGAATATGAAAGCCAGCTCTCCAGGTACCAGGGTTGCTCCAGCACGGTCAGTTTCTACCCAGGCAGTGGGGAAGAAGGGGTTGGGCAGGTGTAGCTGTCCGAGCTCCTGGCCTGTCATGAACAGCACCTAAGGGTCAGGCTTGGACCCAGCCCTGTCCAGGGAAGCCTGGGGCAGTGCCTGGGGCGGGGCCTGATGCCCATGTGCTGTGTATGCCTCTCCAGCTCTTCACCAAGCCCCACCCGGCCAGGAGCTCTATGGGGAAGCCTTCACCTGGGAGGGACACAGCCACACCCTCCAGCCTACCCAGCCAGCCAAAGCCTTTCCTGCACAGCCTGCAGTCCCTGAAGCCCTCCCAGGTCACCGTCAAAGGTGAGTGTCTGGCCCTGCATGGCTCTTCTGAAGTTTCCAGGGCATGGATCCAGCCAGGTGCTGGGGTCCGGCTTCAAATGAATGTGTCTCTAAACACAGTGGGCCACTGGGAGGCCTCTGCTCTGGAGGTGGTTGGGACCCCTCAGATCCTAGACATCTGTCTGTCTGCCTGCCTCAGACACACACACCCCTGCCTACTGTGTGTACACAGACAAACACATATTCCAGCAGCTTGGTGCAGTGGTGCATGCCTATAAGCCCAGCACTCTGAAAGGCTGAGGTAGGAGGATTGCAAGTTCAAGCCCACCCTGGGCAACTTAGTGACTTAGCAAGACCGTGTCTCAAAATAAAAAGTTAAAAGGACTGAGGATGTAGCTCAGTGCAAAGGTATTAAGTTTAATCCCCATGACTGTGAAAAAAATCCACATATTACACGATCCTCCTCCCTTTCTCCCTGGAGCTCTGTCTCTCCCTCTCTCCTTGTCTCTCTCATACACATACACTCCTCCTTCCCTCTAAAGCTAGAGGGGAAGTCCCAAGTGTCTTGCAGTCTCTACACCTTGGTGACCATTGCTCCTGGAATCCACATGGGCCTGTAGCCCGTAGCTGAGACCATGCACCTAGGCAGAAGGCTGTGCAGAGTCCCAGACTGACTGTTCCTCAACAGTGGTGGTGGGGAGGGGACAAGAAAAGCCAGTTCTCCAATCTCACTAGGACAGGCAGGGACACCTCCAGGAGAAAGGAGGACACTGTGCAGGATATAGGGTGCATTCTCAGCAGCCTCAGTTGGAGGCACATGTGGTGGAGCTATTACCTCCATTCCATGGATGGGCCCCCTGGTAGTAGGGGTGGAGTGACATGACCAAGATAAGCTTGGAGCAGACTGCTAAGCAATAGATCCCAGTTCTGAGCTATCATTGGGCTGAGGCTGAGGGCTTCCAGACAGACCAGACTTATGCCACCTGCCTGGGGCTCCTCCTAGGAAGGGCAAGGAGGACAGTCCCTCCCGAGCATCCTATGGCTTTGTGCTATCTGCCCCTACAGACAACCTGGGCTCTTCTTCCCTTGTGTATTAGTCAACTTTCCCATTTCTGAGACAAAATATCTGTATCCACAATTTAAAGGAGGAGAGGTTTAATGTAGCTCATGGTTTCTGAGGGTTTGGTCCATGGTTGGCCAGCTCCAGGGCAGAAACATCATAGTGGAAGAGTGTGACGGGTTAAAGTTGCTCACCTCCTGGAGGCTGGGAAACAGGGAGCAGGGGACAGGTATAGTCCCAAAGGTCATACCCCATGACCACCTCTTCCAGCCAGGGCTCTCCTCTTAATAACCCATCCAGCTATGAGCTCAGGGATGGGTTAACCCATGGATGAAGTTAGAACCCCCACAATCAGTCATCTGTCTAGGAGGTCTCTGAATGCAGTCAAGTTGACAGTCACCTGCACTTTTGCTTACAAGACCTTGGTTTGTTGCACTGACTTTTTCTCTCCAGCTCATCTGAAGTCAGCCTCACAGTTTCCACCATACTGACCGGCAGGCAGATATGTTCCTTTTCTCTCTAGGATCAGAGTCTCCCAAAGGGGCTATTGGCCACATCGTCCCCACCGAAAAGAACATTCTAGCAGTGGAGAAGAACAAAGTGCTGCTGCCTCCCGCCTGGAATAGGACTTTCAGCTGGGGGTTTGACGACTTCAGTTGCTGCCTGGGGACCTATGGCTCCGACAAGGTGAGCAGACATAGCCTCCCTCTCACTGGCTCCAAGGGTCTGGAGGTCAGGTTGTGTTCCTGCCTAGGAGACAGAGAGCTCCTGGGATCCCTCAAAGACCCCCTCTGAGCCAGATCTCAACCACATGTTCATGGCCTGGAGCTTACAGGATAGTTGTGCACATGGTCACTTCCAGAGGGAGTCTGGCCAGCCATGTGGCAACCTGGAGCCCACCCAGATGTACACTTCATCTCTGTGGAAAGCTGGGGACTTCTGCCACCCTGGGAAGTGTGAGAATTTAGGATCATGCTGAGTGTTCAGTGCCCCCAGCAGACAGCAGTGCAATCCCAACTCTAGTCCCTCTGTCTCTGCCTTGTCCTCAGCCACCACCTGTCACACCCAGGGGATTCCCAACCCTCCATGCTCCCACCCCCAGCCTTGCTTCTCCAGCTTCATCAGGCAGCATGGCTATCAGCCCCAGAATCCCTCCTGAACTCTGTCCCCGCCCCACCAGGTTGAGCCACTACCCCCGGTGCTCATGGGACTTTTCACACCCCAGGCTCCTGTTGTTTCTCTCTCCTACCACTGAGGAAGGAGCTGCTCCTTAGGAGTGACATGGATTTGTTACTTGGACCCAAACATAGGTCTCAGGGCACCCAGACTCACCAGTGTCTCCTTGCTCTGTCCTGGCTTCCTGGGCTCTGCTGGCCCTGTTCCAGCACCTGTCTCTTCTTCACAGGTTCTGATGACCTTCGAGAAGCTGGCCGCCTGGGGCCGCTGTCTGTGTGCTGTGTGCCCATCACCCACGGTGATCATCACTGCCGGGGCCAGTGCCGTGGTGTGTGTGTGGGAGCTCAGTGTGGTCAAAGGCCGCCCGAGGGGCCTTCATCTCCGGCAGGTAAGTAGCCCAGCAGGCAGGAACCTCCTGCAGGTGCAGGGCCCTGGGCAGGTATGTGCCTGGGCCAGGTATGTTGCCTGATCACACCTGGCTCCCTGCTCCATGAGGGTCCTGCCTCCTTTGGGAGCAAGGAACATAGGGAGGACCAGTAGGCGGCCACCATCTGTCACTCTAGGGAGTCTATAGCATAGTGTGAGGTGCAACCACTTCCATTTATACCAGGACCAGTGGAGTTGATCTCCTGCACCTGATGTTGCTCTCTGAGCGCCTGCTATGGGCTGCCCACTCTTATGCTGAGCACTTTTGTAGGCATTGCACCTACCCAACAGCCCTGTAAAATCAGTGTCACTATCATCCCTGCTTTCATGGTGGCACAAGGAAATTGTCTTAGTTACTTTTTCCTCATTGCTGAGACAAAATTCCCAATACTCAAAGTTAAAGGAGGAAAGGTTTATTTAGCTCACAGTTTGTAGAGGTTTCAGTCCATAATTAGCTGTCTCCAAGGCAAGGTGGCATGGTGACAAGGATGGTAGAGGAAAAACAATTCATGGTGGGCAGCAGACAGCAAAGCAACAAGGGAGGACCATCTTTTATCTTATACAGGCTACTTAGGGTGGGTAGCACTCACCCTTAATCCTAGCACCCTTGACCCTGGCATTGCACCATGAATCAATCCCAGTGTCAAGCATTCTAGATCCAGCTGCCTCTGACAAGCCCAACCTATGACCACATAAGGCTTTGGGGGACATCTAGTCATAAGCCATCACAGAAATGAAGAAATGGCCCATCCAAGGTCACAGAGGGGAAAGCAGGACTGTTTCAGAGGGATATGGTCCTGGTGGGGAAGGACCAAAAGCAGGGCAAAGTGGAGCTCTGGGTCCAGCTTCTGGAACCCACTGTTTCTATTGTGGCTGGGTGGAGCTAGCATTTCCATAACACTTATGATGCCCTGGGGCCTCTCTGAGCACTGAAAAGAAGGGGCTGTGAGTTCTCTTTCAGATGAGGAAACTGAAGCTCAAAGTGGTTGAGGTGCCCTTGAGTCTGGACTTGTCTACTTCTAGGTTTCGTGGTCTCTCTGTGTACTCATGCACTTGCCCGGAAGCATCACTAGGGATGCTTCTTGTGTGAAGTACAAGTCATTTTCATATCTGTTTCTCAGTCAAGGAGCCCCAAAGTGACAAAAACCAAATAGATCCTATGACATTCACCCTGCCCGGATCCCTAAGCTGAGCATGCTTCCTTCTGTGGGCTGATTCTAGATTTCTCTTGATGACTTTCAAGCCATTGAGTATGTCTTTGTTCCCTGCTGTCACCACCAGGCACAGGCAGCAGGGGTGGTGGCACTTTTTAGGCAGCTGTGCAGGCCTACAGGTGACCTCCTATATCTATGGACCCCTCCAGAACAGTCCCTTCCTGGTTTTATGCTGATTCTGGAGGTTTTCTATGGTGGGCAATGGAGCAGGGTTTTATTCCCGACCTAAGGAAGAGACAGGAAATGAAGGGCAGGGCCCCTTCCCCAGGTGTTGCTGATGCCATTACAACTCACCTGGGTATGGTGGGTGGGTCCAGCCTGACCCTGGTGCTGGCCTTGGGGCACAGCAGGTGACTGTTCTGCTGCTACTCTAAGCCTCCACTTAGCAGTAAGATGCACTATAAAAGCCCTGGTATCGACACCATAAGAACACAGTTTTTCATTCTTTCCTGGCTCCAAATCAAGAGACATAAGCTTTGGGAAATCCACATGGTTGTATTTTCCTAGGCAAAGTCAACACTTTATTATTGACCCATAAAGGCTGATATGGCCTTGGGAAGCCCCCAAACCACTGCTTGCTCAGTGACCAGGGTCCATTCCTGACCTGTAGACAGAGAGTCAAGTCATGGTTAAATAGTTTTATAATAGCCTTAAAAGTGGTTCGTCTTTCAAGACATTACAACTTTACAAAGATATTTCAAGTACACTTTGAAGATAGTTCTCTACAATTCCTATATAAAACTTTTCATTTTTTGCATACTACTACCCCAATATATGTATTTATACATCTCCGATCCTTGTCTGGATATTCTTATTTCATTTTCTCCGAGCCTATCAAATGGCTTTCATATTTCTACAGCCTCTATAATTTGCATTTCAATTGTTCCAGATTATTGCATTTTCATAAAATTACATTTCAATTGTTTTGTTATGTCAATGCACCATGGTTTAATAAACCATTTCTTCCAAAACTAGACAATTAAGTTATTTCTAAGTTTTAGCTATTATAAACAGTGCTGCAGAAAGCACCTTAGATCACTGTTTGCTTCTGATTAATGTTTCCTTATGATAAATTTTAGGGAGTAGAATTACTGAGTAGTAACATAAAGTTTTCTAAGATGGTTCCATAGCTTTCCTGTGCCACCAATGATTAATTAAGGGTACCCATTTCATCACAGCACAGCCAGCAGGGGGCCTTATTTTCAGAAGTTTTGATTTTATTTTTGCTACATTAGTTAGGTATAAGATGATAGAATGAAGTTCCTGTAATTGGCCTAGAGAGAAGTGTTATTCTGGAAAAACAAAGAAGCCCATTGGGGGACACATTTCAAACTGCTGCACCCTGCCTTTATTTCTTCTGCCTTGCTAGTTGGCGGGTGTTTGGCACCTCCTGATGCCCTAGCTGCCAGCCTTGGGAACCTAGGTAGGGAGCATTCTGTACCCTGCCCTGCAGAGCACAGGCTGACTCAGTTCCACAGATGAGCAGTTGTGTTGGCATTGGGCTCCTCTGAGCTGCAGTCTGAATCCCAGCGTTACACCCAGGTCCCCATCCTGTCCCCTTGGGTCAGAGCTTAGACATCAGACTTAGTCCACTCTGGGAAGAAAATCAGGAAGCCTGCTCTCTCCCTGCTTATCAAGACAGTTTCCGTGTTCCTAAGATGCCATGCATCCTCTGCCATGGGTTGTGACCAGAAACTTGCCACTGCCATCTGGTTGGTGTCATGTTAGGATCCACTGAGAACAAATGGGAATATGCGGCAGGACTGTTCATTGCTGTGACCAACAAAGTGACAGCTTTGAAAAATGGTGCTCAGCCTCATTAACCCAAATGAGTTAGCCGTGGTCCTTGCCTAAGGGACGGCAGTAAGCCTGGCCAATGCCACCTCATGCCCACTACCTGGTGTCCAGGAGGTGGCAGGCTTGGTGAGCACAGGGGACCTCCAGCAGGCTTTCCTCCTGCCTCTGGGATATCTGGGATGGAGTCTTTGCCATTACTGGCAGCAGTGGCTCCCAGGTACCCCAGTCCTGATCTGCACCCACAGACAACTATGTCAGGCCAGGCCCCACCTGTACCCCACCTGAGGGCCAAGAGAAGGCTGAGTCACCACTGGACACAAACCCAACCCACTGAACTTGTAAGGCACATTTTCCTGAGCATGGTATGACTTCCCCTCCTTCTTCCCGGTTTAGTTCAGGGCCCTTGTGTCTGAGATTCCCACCACATGATAACCACGGGCTTTAGTGTGCATCGAGTCCCTCAGAGGGTCTGTGAAGATGCAGGGTGTGGGGCAGAGCCTGAGAATATGCATTTCCCAGTTTCTGATGCTGTGGGGCTGCAGGGCCAGGCCTTGCTGAGTGACTGTGCTGTGCAGGTTCCAGATAGTGCAGGGGAGGACAAGGGGCAAGGAGGCTGCTGGGCTCTGGTTGGGGTGTTGCAAAGGGATTGCTGAGTCTCCCCAGCTGGGCCTCCCCCCAGAAATGGGGTGACCCATGGGCCAGCTAAGGACCAACACAGCTACGCAGCCATGGACTGGGCTCTGGAGCCACTGAGTCACGGGTCATGCTGAGTCTCTCTCTTTCCTGGGGATTGGGAGCAGTAAGGAGAGGGTAGGGAGTCACCCAGGGACAGGGTGGATGGTCCCTCCCATAACCCTTGATCTGCATCCCGTCCCAGGCCCTGTACGGACACACCCAGGCTGTCACGTGCCTGGCAGCATCAGTCACCTTCAGCCTCCTGGTGAGTGGCTCTGAGGACCGCACCTGCATCCTGTGGGACCTGGACCACCTTGTGCATGTGGTGCGTCTGCCTGCCCACCGGAAGGGCATCTCGGCCATCGCCATCAGTGATGTCTCGGTGAGGCTCCCATTCTTCCATGTCTGTGGGCCTTCACAGTGGCATGGTAGACTGCTCCCCACAGGAAAGCACAGGGACATAGGGGGCTGTTGCCCCAGGTGTGGAGAGACCCCTGTGTGTGGCTACTTGCTGCCCATGAGCCGGTGCAGCCCCCAGGTGTAGCTTTAGCTTCTACTTCTTCCTTGTCCTCCCTTGCTGACTTGGGGTGCTGGAGCATCTGCCCTGGCATGGGGACCACACAGCAGGGACAGAAGCTCCACCTTTGGTAAGGAGCCTGCTGGGCATGGCTGCAGTTACAAGTGGACTGGTCAGGGCTGACCTCCAGGCAGTCCTCCAGCTGGTTAGCAAAGATGGACTTGGCAGGAACACACAGGTGAGAGGCAGTTAGGGAAATATTTGTAGCAGTGTGGGTTTTCTTCCAGGATGGAAGCCCTGTCTTGGGTCTGGGGCATCCCGAGCATGCAGAGGTTTCTGCATCTGCTCACAGAAATACTCAGAGTCTCAGGGTATAGAGAACATGGACAGAGACTCACAGGAGGAGAAGTCTTCTGGTTCCAACTTAGTGGTGCGATAGGCAGCCTTGACTACAGGGTGGATGTTAGATGGGTGTACAGAGGATGATTGGATGGGTAGGTAGATGGGTGGATAGATGGGTAGAGGGACAGAAGATGGATGGATGGATGGATGG